TTGCAACGCCATGCGTGGACAGCGCTTGATTTGAGCCAATTTCCTCCTACAACAGGACAATGACCCACAGCACAGCTCCAAACTATGCAAGAACTATTTAGGGAAGATGCAGTCAGCTGGTATTTTGTCTATAATGGAGTGGCCAGCACAGTCACCTGATCTCAACTCTATTGAGCTGTTGTGGGAGCAGCTTGACCGTATGGTACGTAAGAAGTGCCCATCAAGCCAATCCAACATGTGGGAGGTGCTTCAGGAAGCATGGGGTGAAATCTCTTCAGATTACCTCAACAAATTGACAACTAGAATGCCAAAGGTCTACAAGGCTGTAATTGCTGCAAATGGAGGATGCTTTGACGAAAGCAAATTATTATTTGAGGACACAATTATTATTTCAATGAAAAATCTAACCTTTCCTATTCATTTAGCTATATTTCCTATTCAAACTGATTTCATGTATGTTTTCATGGAAAACAAGGACATTTCTAAGTGACCCCAAACTTTTGAACGGTAGTGTATTGTCCCCTTGTTCAGTGCTTGGTAATCAATGCAAGGGCGCAGACCTCCGTCTTTCTTCTTCACAAAAAAGAAACTTGAGGAGGCGGGCGAAGTGGAGGGATGTATGAACCCCTGGCGCAGGGACTCGGAGACGTATGTCTCCATAGCCTCCGTTTCAGCCTGCAACAGGGGATACATATGACTACTGGGAGGCACAGCGTCTACCCGGAGGTTTATCGCGCAATCCCTCGCGCGATGAGGTGGTAATTTGGTCGCCTGCGTTTTGGAAAACGTGTGTGCCAAATCGAGATATTTGGGGGGAATGCGCACGGTGGAGGTAGTGTCTGGACTTTCCACGGTGGTACCACCAACAGAAACACCTAGACACCTACCCTGACACTCTTGCGACCAACCCGTGAGAACCCTTTGCGGCCATGAAAAGGTGGGGTTGTGTAGTGCTAACCAGGGAAGACCTAACACAACAGGGAAATCAGGAGACTCAATAATAAAAAAAAGTGACTTGCTCTCGATGAGTCTTGTGCATAACCATAGTGACTGGTGCAGTAACTTCCCTAATGAACCCGGACCCTAATGGTCGACTGTCAAGTGCTCTGATGGGGATTGGAATGGATAGGGTAACCAATGTAATGCCTAGACTATGTGCAAATGACCTGTCCATAAAGTTCCCAGCTGCGCCTGAATCGACCAGCGCCTTACACTGGGGAACTACTGTGTAATCAGGAAACTGGATGTGTAGGGTACAGTGCGCAGCAGAGGGCTCTGAACGAGTGTGGGTGTTCGATACATGGGGTGCTTCTCCCAAGCTGGCTAGCATATCAGAATGCTCCCGGACCCGTGCCACAACTCCTGTCGTGTTCGCTTCTCCTGCTGACTCCATGTCAGGTGTGTGAGTCTGAGATGGGTGATTTGAAGGGGTCAGGCGCAGGAGGGCAAATCACAGAATAAAATGTTTATTCCGAACACAGTAGTACGCAGCAATGCGTCAAACACTTCAGGGCAGAAAACAGGCACACTGGAAAAACAACAAAGCACACGGGTGAAAATAACCTGGCAATACAAAATAACAAAGAGCTCCACCGAGCTAATCGAACCTCCACAATAAACAATCACACACAAAGACAAGGGGGCAGAAGGAACACTTATACAGGTACTGATGAGTGGATATGAAACAGGTGTTTGTAATAAACAAGACAAAACAAATGGAATGATGAGATGAGGAGCGGCAGTGGCTAGAAGGCCGGTGACGACGAACTCCGAAGCCTGCCCGAACAAGGAGAGGAGGCAGCCTCGGAGGAAGTCGTGACACATAGACCGTTTTGCCAACATGAAAGAGAGGAGGATGGTATTGGCGTTCAACTAGTCTACAAGTAAGGTGATTCAAAAAAATGGTTTTACTTGCGTGCACACACACACAGACACAGACACAGACACAGACACAGACACAGACACAGACACAGACACAGACACAGACACAGACACAGACACAGACACAGACACAGACACACACACACAGAAAACAGTACCATGGACAGCCACATGATATTTAGCAACATTGATTGGACTAAATCGTTTTTGGTATCTTTAAGTTTGTTTTCAGTGTATTAAACTAAGCATATATAGCCTTGTTGATTTGATTATGTTTAAACGTTTAAGTTGAAATGGTGCTGAAATAGCGTAGGCAGAGCTCCTGTTGTCTTCGTGCTGACTTGCGGTAACTCTGTGGTTCTAAATCAGTAGTTGTTTAGTAAACTGTCGAAAACTTTAACTTGCTTGACCATGTTGCAGGTCATATACCTGTTTGCAGTAGCGGTGCGTGGGTAAAATCACTGAGGAAGTCAAGTAAAGCCAGTAAAAAATCTATACAACAACCTATGTTGTGATAATTGCATTGTTTGTTCTATAACCCATTCGTTCATACGCCAGGGAGATATTCAATAAGGTGATCATCACAAAACCAGAGAGCACCAGGACAACCCACAGTTGAGCTCAATGCTGATTGGCTAATTATTTTATATTTTTTTATCAAGAGAGGCCAAATGCTTGCTGGCATCAATCAATCAAATGCTATGGCCGCAACATGCCATACTCTTTTGATCCAGACAGCATTAGATACATGGGCTACACATACTGAAACAGAGGGGCGCTGTTTCCCTCACTCGGATGATTTCTCCGGTGAGAATTATGAAAACACAGAGAGAGACGAAAGATAATCTATTATTTTTTATTTAAAAAAATAAAAAATATTGGTCAAATATTTGGGGAAGCCTGGCTTCCCTTGGCAACCATGAATATATGCCACTGTTGGTCAGCATGTTAGTCTTGAACGATGTATGCCAATATTTACCAGAGATAAGGGCTGTTTGTGGTTGATGTGCAACCACACAAGTCAAATGGGGTTCACCAGTATGAACAAAATCGCAAACCGCTTTTTTTGTTCAAGCCCTCAAGAACTGTTGTCCGCTAATGATGATAATGTGTTTGCATCTGCCAATTTATTGGCTGTCCAGTATCCAGATGAGCTTTCTATACAGTTAATCTATTTCCGTAATGTGTTGAGCCCGGCAACAGAACTGCTGTATTTGAAGCACCACTCCCTTCTGCCTAGTTTCCCTTATGTTGCTACGGCAAATAGCAATTGTGCTGTTTTTACCATCCCTGTAACTGTCGCTTCTGCAGAGATATCTTTTTCTAAACTAAAACTCATAAAGAACGATGGAAGCATTACAGCCGATTTATGGTCAATCTGGCATCTGTATTGGCCATACAGCATTTACTGCGATGCAGCCTCTGCAGAAGTCAGAGCATTCATACTACTTGTGCTTCACAGAGCAGAGCTGTTGTGAAGGAAGTTGTGAAGGAGGTGAGTTTGTGTTTATACAGGACATACTGCCCCCACCTACCATCAGCCAATCATGTCAATGCAGATCTATACGGAGCCCTCTGCATTTGTAACAAAGCAGCTTGATTTGGCCAACGCAAGCCTCCGAAGGCTCCGTAATTACGTCACACCCTCCGTATGGAGCCTCCAGACCACATTACAGATCAAGCATAAATCGGCTTTTAGGCTCTTGATCTGATATGCGCTTTTAAACACCTGAGTAAGCTCAACTCATTTCACTGGTGCCGTCGTAGCCTTGACCACGGCATTTGTTCACCAATATCCCCTTACTTTCAATCAGTTTATTTTTTTCTGGCACATTCCTGAAGCACAAGAAACAAACACTTAGCTTCCTAGTACATATGGAAATTAATAAGCTTTATGAATTACTTTTCGGGGGGTTATTGTCAAAATGATTTATAAAAAAGTATAAAAAATCCACAACAATATCATTACATTCACAACTCTAACCTGTCTTCATAAAGCTTCCCCAAGCTGTTACCACTGTGTGTATAGATTGTTTTGGAGTGTTTGAGAGGTGGCATGGTATATCTAGTGCCTAATCTGAGTACCCAGATACAGGAACATCCATGTTGTTTTTATGAATAATACATTTTCACAAACATATCATTACATTCACAATTTTAAATTGTCTTCATAAAGCTTCCTCAAGACATTAACTTTAATTAGACATGAGTAAGAAGTCTGTGAAAGCTGGTATGGTACAGTATATCTAGTCTAGTCTGAGTAGCCAGGTAGAGGAAAATCCATATTTTTAGATGATTCATCCATTTGCACACAATCATTGCTTTCACAACTTTAAATTGTATTCAAAAGGCTTCCCCAAGCTGTGACCATCGTGTAGAGATTGTTTTGGAGTCTGTGAGAGGTGTTATATCTAGACTAGAGTCTGAGTAGCCAGATAGAGGAAAATCCCACTTGTGACACCAGTGTAGCAAATTCAGGAGATATCCCAAATAGGTTTGAACCCAGAAACGTGCAACTGTGAGTCCAGTAGTGCTGTCATTATAAAGCCTGAACTAAGGGCTACATATAATGACAAAGGTTTTTAATACTGATACAAATGTGGAGCAAAAGATAAATTCATCCAAGAATGAGGTTCTCTGCAGTGCTCTGGACTCTTACCCAGCTGTATGCCAGTGGCAAAATGGTGCATTGCTGTGTCATTGTTGGCAAAAGGACTTGCTCGCTCAATTGCCAGCGCTGTAGTTTCAAGCCTCTGCACTGCAGTCACCTGATGCACTGCTATAGTTTGTTTTTAGGGGCTAATAGTAACATTTCCTACTCATCCTGTTTCAGAGAGATAGACATGCTTCACATACTGACCTCATTGCCCTCCCTCTCTCTTCACTGGTTATCCCCGCCCCTTACATCTGTCTATTTTCCTCTCACCCTATCTCTCAATCCCTTTCTTAACAGCTCAGACTTGGCTGGCTGGTGCTGTCATTGATCCCTGCTGTCAATGCTTTAAAAAAAGGTTTGCGTCACAGTCATTACAGCACTATAAAAGCCACAGTGATGCAGTTCCCACTGTGCAGTCGACCCAGCAACTACATCAAACATAGAGCTGCCTGTTTCACGAGTCATGAGTTCTATTGGTTACGACCCTTACTTTCCCTCCTCTTCCCACAAGAGGAGGGTGACGCTGCGCAGTGGAGGGTATGGAGGTAGTGCAGGAGGAATGACATCCAGGTCGGTGTATTCCAGCCTCTCTGCCCCCCTCTCATCTCATGGGTCATCCCGGCTGCATTACCCAACATACAGCCGTAGCTCCTCCATGCTGCTGTCTGACCCCGGCTCTGTGGCCACTGCTGAACTGGACATCAGCCAGGCGGTGCAGGTCAGCACTGAGTTCAAGGCCGTGCGGACGCAGGAGAAAGCCCAGCTGCAGGATCTGAACGACCGCTTTGCCAGTTTTATCGAGCGCGTCCACGAGCTGGAGCAGCAGAACAAGCTGCTGGATGCTGAACTGCTGATCCTCAGGCAGAGGCATGGGGAGCCCTCCCACCTCAGGTCCCTGTATGAGCACGAGATCCGCCAGCTCCGTGCTGCTGTGGAGGATGCCCGCGATGAGAAACAGGCTGCTCAGAATCACAGGGACCAGATGGAGGAGGTGCTGCAGAGTCTGCAGGGCCGTTATGAAGAGGAGGTAGTCAGCAGGGAAGAGGTGGAGGGCCGTCTGATGGATGCCAGGAAGAGGGCGGATGAGGCCGCTTTGGGCCGTGTTGAGCTGGAGAAGAGGACAGAGACACTGCTGGATGAGTTGGCCTTCCTGAAACGTCTCCATGAGGGGGAGATAGCTGAGCTGCAGACCCAGGTGCAGTACAATGCCCAGGTGTCAGTGGAGATGGAGGTGGCAAAGCCAGACCTGTCCGCAGCCCTCCGAGACATCCGCGTCCAGTATGAGAAACTGGCACACCGCAACCTCCAGTCAGCCGAGGAATGGTTCCGCAGCAAGGTGAGTGTGATGACAGAAGGCACCGCCCGCAACACAGACAACGTTCGCAGTGCCAAAGAAGAGGCTGGGGAGTACCGGCGCCTGATCAAAACACAAAACATGGAGATTGAAGCCTGCCGTGGGATGAACCAGTCCCTGGAGAATCAGCTACAGGAGGTGGAGGAGAAACAGAGTGCTGAGATCGCAGCCCTACAGGTCAGTGCCAGAGCAGCATGAATGAAAATTTAACCTGTCTAAATATCTGCATTAGTAGTGTAGCAGACTCTGCTGAGCCTAATCCTTCAGACAAATGCGCACAATGAATATTCTACAGAAATGCTATGTAATGCATCCTTTACATCAACAAAGTAAGTTTTGGCCTATAGAATATGTGGTTTGGTCATGATGTTTGGAAAAACTTTTACATATATCAGATATATATATAATAAACACCTCATTAATCATATTACACCTTTAACATAATAAATGATCTCTCCAAAATAGGAATCAATTGGCCAGCTGGAGGACGAGTTGAGGACAACTAAGAATGAAATGGCTCGGTACCTGAAGGATTATCAAGACCTCCTGAACGTTAAGATGGCTCTGGACATCGAGATAGCGGCTTACAGGTCTGTAACTCATAAAATTAGACATGCATGTTGTGTCTACTTCACAGAGAAGAACTTCCTGCAGAATTTTTTAACTATACCATTACTTTATGATCATAGATTGGATCATATGTATTTTACAGTTTTTTTAAAATCAACTGAGTGCCAACCAGGGCCATCTCTTGTGATCTATGTATCTATTCTGTTTCCAGGAAGCTGCTTGAAGGGGAGGAGAATCGCTTCAGTGCAGGAGGACCAGGGGAAATGTCTAGTGTCTACTCCCAAAGCCTGTGTGTTGCCCCATCCTACAGCCGCCCCATGTTCTTCATGCAGTCCAGCCTGAGCTCTGGTGCCCCCTACCCACGCATGTACAGCTCATCATTTTCCTCTGCGGATGAGATTATAGCTGCCAGTCAAGCACAGCCTGCTGAGTCAAGTCCTCAGGAAGAAGAGGAGGAAAAAGAGGAGGAAGAAGAGAAGGTAGAAGAGGAGAAGGGAGTCGAGGAAGCAGAGGAAGAGGAAGAAGAAGAGCAAAAAGCAGGTCAGTGTTGTCTAGAGTTTTAATGAATGTGCTTTCACTTATTTTTCTTGAAGGTTTTGAATTGTCAAGTTCAGCGTCTACAGTGGTTAACAACTAATCACTAATTGTCGCTACAGGTGACAACGGAGATATGGAGAAAGAGGAAGCAGAGAAGGCTAACGAAAATGGAGAAGATGGAGGAGATGAAAGCCAAGAAGGAGGAGATGGAGAGGAGGATGGAGCCACTGAAACAGAAGAAGGGGATGATAATGGAGAAGAGGAAGAAAGCAAAAAGGAAATAGAAGTGGCAGAAGAAAAAGAGAAGCCAAAATATATAAATATTTAAATCAAGAATGAATGGCACATTGAGGTGCTCTACAAATAGATCAGTTCAGTTCAGTACAATCAATCAGGAAATCACTGTATATACAGCAGAGGCCTTTATGTTTGAGTGCAAATAAGCGGTATGGCTGTACACTGAGTGAAGCTGAGCATGAGAGTGTATGCATGTGTGTGCCAGCAAGGTGCTTTTCAGAACAATAAAAAGCTAATACCTATATATGAAATACATCAAAATAAATGCAATATGACTGCTTAATTAATGGGTGCGAGAAACGAGAGAGAGCATATGTGGAGTTTTGTGAGCAAATACTGTATTGTATTAGCCTGTGGAATATTTGTTTAAAAAACCTATGTGCTTTTCTGTCACCACAATATGCCTATAAGAACACCATTGTGTTCAATACTTGATTTGAAATGCCTTGATTTGTAATGCCTTAGACAAAATCTTCTTAGTGGGATCCATGATGTACAGTACTGAACACAAATAAAGACATGAAACATGTTCATCTAAATAAGTGAATTGTTGGTATTATTGCACTACTCAATTCACTACCTTGTCACTTATGAAGTTACTACTCATTTTCATGACTGACTGGATGAGTCAGCAATACGTGTATGGAGTGTATAGATAATAGCATTGGTGAATCAGGATGTTCATTTAGAATAAAAGGGACGTGTATTAGAACAACTGTTTCCTTTATAGGTTGGTTGATAGATTATGTAATTTCTCCACAATGTACCTACTACCTGTATGTGTCATCTGAGAGACGCCCTCTTAGATGGCCCTTTGATAGACACTGAACAAACTTTGGAAATTGCTGATAGTTTCCCACCTTGGTAGATTGTAAAACAATAAAGAACAGTTGGCAAAGATAGAATTAAAGACATTTTGGTTTTATTTTTTCAAATCGACGGATAGTAAGTAGAGACCAGGAGCTTTGTGTGCATGTGTGTGTGTGTGCGTGCGTGTGCGTGTGTGTGTGTGTGTGTGTGTGTGTGTGTCCTCCTCATAAGGTCCTGTGTGATCAGTGAGCTGACATGAGTGTTTTTCCTGCTGGCTCACTCTCCTTCACATCACTAGCCATAAATCAGAAGCTTTATGACTCAGCGAAGGTGGTGCTGCACCAAAGAATCAGGCCAAATGTCTACTGATGGAGGACGCCAGCAGAAAGCAATTCCATTAGAGAAACACGAGAGTAAAATCTCACTGCATTCAACCTTGACAGAGGAACGGTCTGTTTTATTCAAGACACTATTTTTGCACCACTGGTGGCGGAAATGCACAGCCATTCATACACATACAGGAACACTGTATGCATGCTAAATGATTGCATACATACTGTGGGCTACATGTGACTATTCATATCAAGTTGAATTTTGTGGCTGTGTATCCCCAATAAGGAGAACACTTGTTCTTTCAAGGATATCAGTTTTACCTGACAGGGACACAGAGAGTGTCTTAATTTCTGCTGTGGCTATAAATCTTCTGACTGCTTGGCTAAAGTTCCCTCTCTTTAGTGTTACTATTATTCTGAGATGACAAACGGTTTCTCTACCATCCTCACTCTCTCTTTACATTTGTATTCATTTTATTCTCCAAAACAGTCACACAGACTTTTATTCATTTATCATTCATGGCATAACTCACACTATGCTATATACACCAACAATTGGACTACAGATGTTACAGAGCTCTGAAAACGTAACTAACTTAGCAGTAGAACTGAGGAAAAAACCCAACAAACATGCAGTCCTCTATCTGTTTGACCTTTGGCCATGTTACATACAGTATTAGAAAGCCATCGCCCCAAAATCTGCAGCTGCCACCTCCCTCTTTTCCACTCTCTAGTTGCTCTGTCCTCAGCTCACCCTATCCTCTGCAGCTCCTCCCTCCATCCCTCCCTTTCTTCCTGAAACAAAAGAGAGGGCGTAGCAAGGAGTGAATGAGGAGACAGCATGTGTATCAAACTGATACCAGCACATATTATCTGTATAAAAAAGACTACAAAAAAGGGAAGTTAACAAGTTGGGCTCAACGTGTTGTTTTTGAAGGATGTAATTTTACAGCTTCATATAGCCACAAGGGTAATGTCCCTCAGCAAACATAACAACTCAAATCACCACCTGATTTGCTGTTAGGAAAACAATGTAAATGTCAAAGTGCTGTATTGTGTATATACGTTTTTTTAAAGGAAACAAGAGCCCCATTCTATTCTATTTCATACGAAAGGTTTTGTAGGTGATATTGTACAATATACACTAGTGAAATAAATGTATGTTGCTGGGATATTATGGAATTTCACTCAGTCACAAAATGTGCTTGAGAGGACTCTGCGTAAGTCTCGCCACTGATCTGCTACCCTCTTTCGGAGCAACAAAGTATTAGGAGGGGGTTGTCCACCACCACCTCCCCTTGAGGCCTCCCAATAGTGCAGTTCTTTAATTAAAAACATGGCATGGTGGGTATGTGAGAAATAGACAGCATACAAGTTACCTATAAGAAAAACTAAAACCTCTTTGACATATAATTTCATATCTTGTACATTTAGTTGGATTTTGAAGATTCAGTAAGCAGCCCCTTCCCTGTGGATGATCATTTGGGTCAAAAGCATGGAAAATGTCCTCTAAACGTTTGGGGTACCCCTCCTCTACTTGATGATCAGACACATCAAACCCCCACATTTAGAAAACGTACATTCTAAAATTCAAAGAATATAATTACAAACCCTCTTATTCCCCCAAAATACCACATTCACTTGCCTTGACAAAGCCATTTGCTAATCTTTATGTATTTCAGTACACACTGACAAAATGACCGACCTGATGACCTTTAAAGAAATAGACCAGTCGATGCTGGTGGTGAAATATTGCTGGGTCCAGTGGTCCTGTGATGCCGGGAAACCCTGCGAGATCAACTTCTCATCAGAGTCCTGCAAATCACTAGAGCTCCAGAACTTAGTGCCTGTGAGAAACAAACAGCAGCAGGTTATACTGTTCTTCAATCTTGCATGCTACAATTACATTTGACAGAAACCATACAGAAATGTCTATATGGCAAGCAATCAGTGTTTAATGATGTAAATTGGAATGAAGCTTAATGTTTCCTGGTCAGGTGATATTATATGATGGTTTACCTTAAAAGAAGTATTCCATACATGTAGGTGAGCATCTACTCTGTCCCGAGGAAAGTCCGTTCCAGCCCTGCTGCATACTCCTGGAGTTGCCCCGGCGAGGTCTGCCTCTGTGGTTGTCATACAGCCAAAATCGACACTGGCCAGTAGGTAGAAGCAAAGTGATTACTATACTGTGGTTTTGTATTCTCCCAGTGTATGAATACATTCTGTTTGCATTTACCTTATATTGTACCTAAATAGTGACCTTTTGTGCACATTACCTACAATATAGCTGTTGGATGGCCTTTCTGTCCTCCCAACCCATCTCCATAGGGTTGCCATTGATGGGGTACAGAGGGTGCATCCCTGAGTCAGGGAAAGACAAGTGGGGTAGTCCCAGTACATGTCCTGTCTCATGCAGCAAAACCTGCATTTAAAACACAACGCTAAACATTGTGAATTTCACAGCACACTAAGACATGTGTATGTCTGTAACGCTGAGTGTGTACTGTACCTGCAGCAGTTTGACCCCATGGTCAGATGGAAAAGCACTGTAGAATGTATCATCATCCAGAGAGATCTGTCCTGACTGGGTTGTCTGTGCAACCTCTCCTCCTGCTCCATCGAACAACAAAGGACAGCCCAGGTGACGTCCTGAAGAGGGAGAGTCAGAAACACAAAAACACAACAAACCAAAGGGAGGCTGGTCTGAGCACATGAATGAGGAACACAGAAAAAAGTTGATTCAATGTTTAAGCACTACAATGGAAATACTATAACCTTGGGGAACACCAACTGGGCTATGAATCATACATGTGTCTGTAATTCCTGTACCAAAGCCTAGGCGGATATCAATCTCTGCCCCAAGAGAAGTGGGTCTTCCTTGAAGGAGAGGGGATTCCCCTCAGCCCAGCGCTTGAGGGCCAGAGCTATGATCTGCTGCTGCTGCTGGACAGGCAGGTGGCTGCTGAGGCCCTTTGATAGCAGGCACCACCTGAGCCTGTGTTTGGCATAGCCCGGGCATGGGGCCCAGGGATCCACCCGGACCCTGAGTGAGTTTTTGTCTGTGGTACCTGAAAACCTGATATGGGCTTGAACCCACACCTGGATCCTCACTACTCATAAGTATTTTACCCTCCTTGGTTCACTGGAGAGATGCAGAAACATCCTTGGGAGAAGGGATCATATAAGGGATCACTGGTGAACTCATGATCTTATCTTTGAACAGATGGTTGGAGGACAAGAGTTGTTTATGATCGTCTTCTGATGCAGATGCTTTATTCACAGCCACCTTGTTGACAAGTAAGGAACACACCAAACAGTGTTTGTAGCTCAGGCAGCCTTTACATCCCAGCAACAATATATTGCAGTTAGGCCTCTGACATGGAAAGAGAAGGGAAAACATGCTGCTTAAGACATACTGTAGTAGGACAACAGTTGCCTCTTTCTCAAAATCACCATACATCTATTTGGTAGACAATATGAAAACACCAATAGTTAAGTACTATTTATCTCTGTTTGATAATCATGTACAAGTGTAATAAGTGATATATGTTAAGTTATGGGATGGATATGGGGGGTGACATCTGCCCTCCTCTTTTTGTTTACCTGTCCTTGTTCTGTATATCTTATTTTGTATTATTTATTTTTTACCTATAACTCTGGGTCTTTTTGTATCTGTCTCCTATTTTATGTTTATATAAGAATTGCATACTTGTCTTTTCTACAAAGTACCTATACACCATTATTGTGTGTGTTCAATAAAAAATATTTGAGCAAGAAATATGTTAAGTTAATTTTGGTTTAGCACAGTAAGCCAGCTGAGGCAGAGCAGTGAAGACCCCACCAGAAGGAAATGAAAAGAGGATTGATAGACTAGCCAGTAGAGACAATCCTTCCAGCCTCATCTCTCTGGGCTCCTTTAAGGCTGTCTACTCTCTCCAAGCTCTCTTTCCCTTGAGACCCCAAGCCAGTGAGAGGGATTGGTCTTTATCCCCTACCATGCTGGCACTACCTCTACTTGTACACCTGTTTCTGTTAACCTTGTATCCCAAAGCACCTGCACACTGCTGGAAAGACAAACGAATCACCATAGTTGTCCAACACCACAGATAGGGGTACAGTACTCACCTTTCTATCTGTTTACCCCCGTCTCTGATCACCATAAAGGGTGTCTTGTTGTTTGACGTGATAGAAGAAGAGGTCATAGTCATGCTTTCTCTCCAGGAGCTTTTAATAAAAGCAGACCTGGCGTATGATGCAATCTGATCTAACTAGAGCATTGGGTGAGAAGGGGATGAAGAGGCTACAGGCAGTTCTGCTAATTAGAGCCTGACTGAAGGGAGGAATGGACACACGTCTGTCTGCTTGACTGATTCATCAACTTACACCCTATCGACACCAAACTGAGATGCCAATACATGTCATGCTTATATAACGCTTACATAAAGCTTGCACCTGAGGTGGTAGACTGTTCAGGAAACAATCCTACACAATGGTCTCTTGAGCCTACATTTGTCTCTCATCAGCATTATTGAGATTTTAGGAATATCCCCTCATAATACCATGACTCAAGCACAAGAATGTAATCTGAATAGGATGTATATGTGTTTGACATAGAGATAGATAAAGGACTCTAGTGCCCAAAAGCCTATTTCTGCATTGGCAGCGCCATTGTGGACTTTCACCATTTTTAAGTAGTCAACTGGGTGGGACTTCCTATAGGTTAAGGAAGGATAATATAATTCCATCCAGGTCATCAGGAGGGATCAGCCAATTAATTATACTTGTGAGTAAACATTCCATAACTGCAGGTGGCAGTAAATTGCCAACTTTGGCTTTATATCTGTTCAAACAGTACGCTCCAGGTGGCAGTATTCACCCTTTCAGTTTGTTTATCAACTCATAGAAGTTGTAGAAGAAGAAAATTGACTAATTAAAAATGGAGATGGCCTCAGTGGTGCTGTCCGAGCGCTCACATATGCCCTTATGGAACCGATACAATGAAGAGTCCTCTATCATTCTCTATGGTGTTTGATAGTAGTTGTATTCCACTTGCTGAGTTTTTGTTTTGCAATTCAAAAAAAATAATGTTGTAATAACAAAAGTCTGTCACATGATGGCAATATTGTGTTCCTTAGTCACTCACAGCTTGCAGAATTCCTTTTCATTTGACTGGTTTTTATGTCAAAGGATCTTTTTTAAAAATATAATATGCCATTTAGCAGACGCTTTTATCCAAAGCGACTTTCAGTCACGTGTGCATCATTTTTTTACGTATGGGTGGTCCCGGGGATCGAACCCATTACCCTGGCATTACAAACGCCATGCTCTACCAATTGAGCTACAGAGGAATATATTAAAGGAATCCATTTGTGGTTGAGATTATATTTGCGGAAGGTTTTAACATGGCAAAAGTGTAAACCTGAATATGACTAGAGATCTGCAGGCCAAGTCTAGTTTTTTACTCTATGCAAAGTAAGGCCTACACTGAATGATAAACCTAAGAATACACAAATCACTCTACCAAAAATGCTTGGATCAAACAAAACCGCGTCAAATTAATTAAATTATTCAAAAGACCTTAAGTACATAAACCGCTCAATGTATAACCACGTTAGTGGTCCAATCTTTTAATCACTTACAGGTGTAGGATCTTAATTTGACCAGTTTCTCACAGCAGGAAAATAATCCTTCAGTAACTGGAAATGTGAATTATTGTGTGGATTATAATTCATAGTAATTTTTGTAGGGGTTGATACATGTTTATTTAGGGCAAATCAAGTCTGAAATTTTAAAGTGCAAATTACAAACTTTAGAAGCCTTTTTAAACCTTGAATACACTAAAAGTTTGCATTTCCTTGCCATGCAGGACATTTCCTGCAACAACGAGGTGATCAAATTATGATCCTGCACCTGTAGATGAGGCAGCTTGGATGAGGCAGACATTGAGCAAGTCATACAAAGAGAACAACATTTCCCAACATAAATAAACCTAAATGCTGTACCAACATTGGTCCCACTTTACAATAAGTGTCCCTATTACCTATATATTTACATGGTAGGCAGTACAGTGTGTACAGTGCAATTACATTGTAGGTACCTTATCGGTATCTGATTTGTGTAACTACATGTTAAAATGTTTATATGCATTAGATTTGTAAAATCAAACTTAAATTAATTGTAACTATAGTAAATCTTCTCTCAACACCAAATTATTGTTTAAGATTAGGCCTACTCAGTTTTTTTTATTGTGACTTTATTTGCAAATTCTTTGTATTGTGCATGCCACAAACATGGATAGCAGTTGTAAGTGCTATGCAAATGTCTACCAAAACTGTACCAATAATTCCTCTACCATGTGAAGTGAGACCCAATCATTTTTGGGAGAATCTACTTTTAGGAGTTGAGGGCTGACTACTAATGCCCTCTGCAGAATCAAATCAAGATATATGTTGTGATGGTTAGCAGAAACCAAATACTGTATAATGCTAAAAATGTCATAGCAATTGCACTGCCCGAACCATTGCAAATTGTACATGAGAACAATGACAGAGCAAAATGCACAGAGAAATAACCATAAAAATAGTGAGAGCTAAATCAAGCTGTCAAGGGGAAAAACAACGTCAATGGATGGCTAATGGTTATTGACAGCAACATTTGGTTGTCTAGTGCTATCAGCAACACATGATGTGAAGACAAAAGGCTAAGTAGAATAACAGGCCTGATCCACTAAACAGCTGCATCGGTGGGGAGGGGGATGGGGATGGGTAGGGGGAGGGGGAGGGTGGGGCCCGGGGAGGGTGGGGCCCATTGTCATAAATAAAATATCCCAATCAATGCACGTATTGATGCAAACTTACACAGACAAATGCATGAATGGTAACCTCAGACAGACTCATCCTCTAAAATACAAACACTGTGTGTGCACCTGATGATGATCAAGTAGGCTACTGCAATCATTTTCCACATGTTATTTAATACATACACACACGCACACCCTCTGACAGTGTCGACTGAGGCCGTTGACAACGGGTTGATTCCTTACATTCCTGACCTTGAGGAAAACAGTCAATGGTTGAATCACTTAAAATCAAAAGTAAAAATAATTTGAATCAAATAAGATTGAATCAAATAAGATATAGTAACGTTATGCCTATTGTAAAACAAAAGTAGCCAGAATATGCTCTATATCAGGGTGGCAGGTAGCCTAGGGGTTAAGAGTGTTTGAATCCCCAAGCCAACTAAGATAAAAAGCTTTCGATGTGCCCTTGAGCAATGCACTTAACCCTAAATTGTTCCTGTAAGTCACTTGGGATAAGAGTGTCTGTAAAATGGGTAGGCAACTAGATTCTGCCGCCGGCTGATTTTTGTTTGAGCGGGGCCGGAACATAATTATAATAATTTGTACACTGCAAATTGACCACAACTAAGCCCAAAATGAGATTGTATTTGACAATAACAATAATTTCATACCTTGATTACATTGAGACATGATCACATCTTTTATTTTATTTGTTGGAATACTAGGGAACAGATTTCCTAAACTAAACTCATTTTTAACAGATTTCCTGGTGATTTTACAGTCTTTTTTGACCAAAACTAAAATCCCCAAAATCACTTGAAGTTTTGGCCCACAGGCGGCCTCTGGCTGACTACATGCTGGCCTATATTATAGTACACTCATTGTCTGCATGGGTCTATAAATGAGACCTCTGCTTTGTTACAGACCATTGCTCTCTCATGTCAGCCTAACTTTATCACATGACAAAAATGTTGCTCCGACAACGAAAAATGTTTTATACTTCTAATTGTGGCTATCACACTTTATTTCAGTAATGTGCCCACAGTTTGCTTTTGCACCATGGACTCTCATGGTGAAAGGTAGCCTACTGTACACTATACACGGTGTAGTGTAGGTGAGTTTCTCTAATCACTTATTTGAAGTTTGGTTCTGTTGTTATGTTACATTGATGTAACATTTGCCACATTTGTTCAATTTAATGATCGTTGAAATTAGGCTACGCGTCGAGGTGCGGCAACGCTTGCTGCTGGGTTCAATTGCATAGCGCCCTAGTTTCTCCCCTCCCCCTTTTTGAAGTCATGATGGCGAAACTGTAGTGTTCAGGACGAGAAGTGTCCCACCCGCCCAGCAGTTCATCTATTTATTTATTTATTTATCATTTCACCGCAATGACCCGCTGGATTCCAACTAAAAAAGAGAAATATGGCGTTGGTAAGTTAGACAACTATGTCGTCTTGTTTACAATTGGGTTATAGGCTATTACATTTGGAAGTTATGTAGCTAGGAAGCTTTAGGAAAAGGCGAAGTTAAGCTACCTTGACTGTCACACATGTTGCTTTGGAATCACTGAAAGAAAGTGAACGTTGATTAGACGTAAATACGTTTGGTCAGCGTGTGCTCTTATGCAGTAACAATCCGTAAATCGAGTGGTTTGACTCGAAAGTGAGCCTTGCTACACGTTGTGCGTAAAGTTTGTGTGATAGACAGCTGAAACTTTCTTGCTGTCCTATACTGTAGCCTTAGCATAAATGTAGGCCTATAGTTGGAAATTTGTAAGACATTGTGATTTTAACATATCATGAAAAAAAAACAAGTCGCGTAGCCTACATGAGTCACTTTAGTTCAGGCATACTGTGTGTATGTGGATACACGCCCTCAAGGTAAATCAAAACGAATGGGGAACCATTTCAGAGAGTATGATGACGTCAGTAGGCCTATAATATCGCAATTGGGTACCTGTTGTTTTTGTATTTAACCAGAAAAAGGCAATTGGGACTCTTTTGCAACCTGGACCAGGGGTGCGTTCAGTATGTTTTTACGATTTGGAACGGTGCTGTACTGAACAACCAGTTGAAAAACGGGGATGGGTTGGTTGGGCAACGCTATTAGCATGGCCATTGCTCTTTAAAAACGTCACTCATTGTTTCAAGCCACACCCACCAAACGGGAGCACACGTACCTAAAAAAAATCAGTGTTCAAGAACGATTTGTGGAAATGTGTCGTTCAGTACAAACCATTCCGCAACGTAGCAAACGTTCAAGCGAACTGAACGCACCTCTGGCCAAGAAGGCAGCAGCAATCAATACATCACACAATTTAAAAATCATACATTACAATCAGCAACAACTCGATCCAGCCTACAGGAAATATTAACACTACTCCTGTCTTGTACCAAACGAGTCTTGTACCAAAGTTTTAAACACATTGAGGGGCAATACATTTAGGTTCTTTGGTTGATATCACTGTATCAAGCAATAACACATTTCATAGATTCTTACAAAAACATGTGGAAATTAATCAAATAATATAATCTGGTTGTTTTTCCTCCATTGTTTACAAAACATTGATGTGTAAATATAATAGTTCTACAGATATCTGGATTTAGCAGGACAGAAAATAACCCTAATGTACAGTATGTTAATTTTGTTCTGACACTAATTTGGGTTTAAATTTTGTTTGAACATGGATATTGGCATCATTATAAAAACAACAATATTCTAGTAAGGAATGCCCTTGACTCAGCTTGCCAGCCCCCAAAGTAGCTAGCATACCTCTGTGGAATGTTGTGTTCAAGTTCCTGTTCATCTTTTGCTATGTTTGGTAAAGACCACAGACAGACATGTCATTTTTGCCAGGGCACTGAAGTCATACTTTGTATTGTTGCTGTTCCACTAAATGTTTTCCCCATTTTGAACATGACAGATGACTCCATGCAACTGGGTATCGGTTTGTTCTTATTTGGGTAGATACAGTTTGAAACAGACACTACCTTTAGTTATGTTTGTGTAATGCTGATACAATCAGAACATCCTTGAAGCTTGTTGTGTCCATTGCTGCTAAACCCTAGTAGTATTTGAAAATAAGACATATCCCTCACTCATAGAGTAGCCTAATGTCTGTGATACATTTACTTGTATTTCAAATGTAGTCTACCAATTTGTACATTTGTAATCATCAAGATGCCAGTGATAGTGTAGAGGATGTCATTGCTATAGAATGAAAAATTAGACAATTTATTGATATAAATGGACTATCAACACTCATCAGAGCACACACATTTCAGACAAACAAACAGGTGTAATGGGTTCGTACTCAAAATGATGTCGCATAAAGCTTACGTCATTATTCAATGTTTACAATTATTTTCACTGCATCACGGATAGCGTACACAGACGTTTCGGCTTTACAGCCTTCTTCAGTGTGTAGGTACAATCATGAAAAAAAAATCTAAACAGCATTAGTAAAGAACAACAGATGAGCAGCAGGTGCTTCTAATGAGGGTTGTCACTCATCTGCCAATCAGGGATGTGGCTTTTCTGGTCTACCTGTATACAAATTAGTCACAAAGAAATACAGAATTATAGGGTATGGGATCGGGCACGGAGGGCAACTCACAAATCAATCGCCCCAGGTTTCCGCTCACCTAAATACATAATATCAATTAATGAGATAGTCCACCACAAAGGACATCAGGCAAAGCCATTCATAAATATATGGGGCCAACTCATAAATGAAATGTGAAATCTGATATGGACAGTGTTCTTGTATAACAGTCTAAATGTGGCTTATAGGAAGGAGGTGAAATCTAATTATTTGTTTAAACTGTGTGGAGATACAGAATTTAATTTATATATCCACATGGCTTCTCTTTGGAGTAATTTGTTGTCATAGTCAGGTCCTCTATGTGGTGGATGAACTTTTTCGATCCCGAAGCAGCGCAATTCATTAACATAATTATTTTGTTCTATGAAGTGTCTTGCAACTGGCGAGGTGATATCTTGATGTCTAATAGTGGATTTATGTTCTCCAAGATTACTTTCAAGGCACGGGATGTTTTTCCAATATAAATCTTATTACAAGAACACTGTAACATAAAGAACTCCTTTTAGTAGTGCAAGTTATACATTACTTTATCTCATAGATCCTAGTTGTCTGAGGGCATGCAAAGTTAGAACATTTCCTTATGGTGCTACAAGAGGTACAAGCTCTACAGGGGAAGCATCCTTTCATGAATGCCTATTTTCTCTCTCTGACCACATCTGATTTTAACCAATATGTTTGATAGATTTATTGATCGTTTATAGGTGAATAAAGGTGGATTCTGGAAGGCAGAATTTAAAGAGGAGTCTGATGATAATATGTGCCAATGTTTATTGACAATAGACTTGATGCCATTACGGCTATCATTGAAAGTATGTACAGTGGGGGAAAAAAGTATTTAGTCAGCCACCAATTGTGCAAGTTCTCCCACTTAAAAAGATGAGAGAGGCCTGTAATTTTCATCATAGGTACACGTCAACTATGACAGACAAATTGAGAGAAAAAAAATCCAGAAAATCCCATTGTAGGATTTTTAATGAATTTATTTGCAAATTATGGTGGAAAATAAGTATTTGGTCACCTACAAACAAGCAAGATTTCTGGCTCTCACAGACCTGTAACTTCTTCTTTAAGAGGCTCCTCTGTCCTCCACTCGTTACCTGTATTAATGGCACCTGTTTGAACTTGTTATCAGTATAAAAGACACCTGTCCACAACCTCAAACAGTCACACTCCAAACTCCACAATGGCCAAGACCAAAGAGCTGTCAAAGGACACCAAAAACAAAATTGTAGACCTGCACCAGGCTGGGAAGACTGAATCTGCAATAGGTAAGCAGCTTGGTTTGAAGAAATCAACTGTGGGAGCAATTATTAGGAAATGGAAGACATACAAGACCACTGATAATCTCCCTCGATCTGGGGCTCCACGCAAGATCTCACCCCGTGGGGTCAAAATGATCACAAGAACGGTGAGCAAAAATCCCAGAACCACACGGGGGGACCTAGTGAATGACCTGCAGAGAGCTGGGACCAAAGTAACAAAGCCTACCATCAGTAACACACTACGCCGCCAGGGACTCAAATCCTGCAGTGCGAGACGTGTCCCCCTGCTTAAGCCAGTACATGTCCAGGCCCGTCTGAAGTGCATTTGGATGATCCAGAAGAGGATTGGGAGAATGTCATATGGTCAGATGAAACCAAAATATAACTTTTTGGTAAAAACTAAACTCGTCATGTTTGGAGGACAAAGAATGCTGAGTTGCATCCAAAGAACACCATACCTACTGTGAAGCATGGGGTTGGAAACATCATGCTTTGGGGCTGTTTTTCTGCAAAGGGACCAGGATGACTGATCCGTGTAAAGGAAAGAATGAATGGGGCCATGTATCGTGAGATTTTGAGTGAAACCCTCCTTCCATCAGCAAGGGCATTGAAGATGAAATGTGGCTGGGTCTTTCAGCATGACAATGATCCCAAACACACCGCCCGGGCAACGAAGGAGTGGCTTCGTAAGAAGCATTTCAAGGTCCTGGAGTGGCCTAGCCAGTCTCCAGATCTCAACCCCATAGAAAATCTTTGGAGGGAGTTGAAAGTCTGTGTTGCCCAGCGACAGCCCCAAAGCATCACTGCTCTAGAGGAGATCTGCATGGAGGAATGGGCCAAAATACCAGCAACAGTGTGTGAAAACCTTGTGAAGACTTACAGAAAACGTTTGACCTGTGTCATTGCCAACAAAGGGTGTATAACAAAGTATTGAGAAACTTTTGTTATTGACCAAATACTTATTTTCCACCATCATATGCCAATAAATTCATTAAAAATCCTACAATATGATTTTCTGGAATTTTTTTTCTCATTTTGTCTGTCATAGTTGACGTGTACCTATGATGAGAATTACAGGCCTCTCTCATCTTTTTAAGTGGGAGAACTTGCACAATTGGTGGCTGACTAAATACTTTTTTTCCCCACTGTATATAGTTTACAGAAAACTGTTTCTTCTGTTTTTGTTGGGATTTATTAAGTAACTGGCTTCTGTTCAAGCTTTTAACTTGTGTTTGAGCTTAATCAAGCCAGGTATCGGGGAATCCTCTCAAGCGAAAATGCTCAAGGAGGGAATTTGATTGTCTATCATATTCTTCCTCTGTGTCGCAGATGCGACTCAGTCTATGAAGTTGGCTTACTGGTAAACCTCTTTGTAGAGGAAGGGGGTGATAACTATCAGCTGTCAATATAGTATTTTTATCTGTAGGTTTTCTGTAAACTGTAGTACTTAGAGATTGTCCCTTCTTTGTAACAAGTACATCTAATAAATGTATAGAGTTAATGTTATTTTCCATAGTGAAGGAAATTGATTGTACTCTAGAGTTATTGTAGTTAAGAAATTCATTTAATTTAATTTCGGAACCGGTCCAGATCATAAAGCAATCGTCTATATAGCGGGTCCAATATTTAACATGATCTTTGTAAGGATTATTTACATAATTAAAATAAATTTGAATTTCCCGACACGTATTTCAATCTGATTAGCTCAGATTATAGAGAGCCGGTAGGATTTTGACGAGAGGCTGTCTGTGTGTGTTGTTTATATGTAACCTGCCAGCCAGGGATGTCACAGTTTGAGGCGCAAAACAGTGGGAAGGAGCTGCGCTAGTGAGCCGTGCTAAGGCACAGACATAAGCGCTTAGCGGTGACAGTATTGCTGCATCACAACATGCTTGGCTTGATTTTTTTTTCCACTGGCAGATCTCTGCTGTTGCCAGGCATGGCCCTGGACACAGTCAAAACTATGTCAAGTTGGTGAAACGGGCCATTGTCACTCTCTGCATGACCAGAGGGAGATGTCATTTCTTTGGTTCTTTTTTTTTTATATAAAGGCTATTGTTTCTGAGTTGGCAGAGGGAGTTTTAAAGTGGAACTGACAGCATTTTAGCAACATGAAATGTTATTACACCCCCAGGAAGAATGACACTTTTAAAAACATTTTCTGACAAGCAAGCACTTACATATGGTAATTTTCTAGTTTTCATAAATTATTAGAATGTTTGGGAATTACAAATACTAAAGCATTTGTGGAAATTCTTTAGCAATATAGAGTGGAAAAGTGGCCGTGCGTTTGGACAATGAATAGATACTGCAGTAAATAAAACCAAATAAAAACATGTCTCATCCAGGACCGGAGTCTACTCAGACCGGTGCACCATAGTCAACCAGACCACAGTAGGCCTTTATGCAAACAAGCCATTTACCACACAGGCCTGCCATCATTCACTTTGAACTGGACTGTGTGTTTACAGGCAGTTACAACAGCCCGACTTTAGATCATTAGAACGCATTCACCAAAAGCCACAAAATACACCTGAATGGATTTCTGCAAATATGTCAATACCACGGGTGTCCTCTTACATTTGGGAACGTTACAGTCCTATTGATCAAACAACCATGAAAAAAAAAGAAGCTATTACTTTTTTTGCCTACATTTACTGACACCGGTCATATTTAGCGGATGTTGCAAGTTCGTAAATTCATCAGTTATTCTACGCTCTGGCACACTGACGAGAGTGCTCTGAAATCAGTAGATATTGGGAGTGAATTTTCGAACGCAAGAGAAATGCTAACTGGATAAGTCGTTCAAGTTCTTGCTAGCTAACCAAATGACATAGCCACTGAAAAACAAGGGGAAAAAGTCAGTCACTCACCCTCCAATGACATGACATCCTCCTAGCAGCTAGCTAGCTAACGTTAGGCTCCGTGTTTTTAGCTTGCTACATAAATATATATACTTGCCTATTAGCCACGTTATGACTTACTTGTGATCATTGCTCTTGCTAGTTTGATTGTATTGACATTCCCAGCCTTAGTTACATTCGTCCGTTTTTGTCCAAAATATTGAGTCATTGAAACTGTATCAGTGCATCCTGAATGGGGGCAGCTGCAATATTTCTTGGACTACCAAGAAATGTATTGGTGAATTATATGAATAATGCATTGAACTGCATCCATCTATTCTGCCAACAATGCCTTAGTGTATGTCATGGAATGTTGAGTCAAATAGAACCTATTTTTAAAACCTCTTATAAAGTTGGTTTTCTAGCATAAACTGGGAATTTGATATTTGACTGATATTATGATATGTCAGTTTGTTTCATATCTACAAAGTAGTTAAAACGCTGTCAGTTCCACTTTAACTACGAATAAGGAAATGTTTTGATGAGGTTTGATGCCATCCTGAATTATATTATTTCCATCCTCTATAGGCCTGAATGGCACCACTCTCTGCTACAACATGACTTAAGCCTATCAGATCTAATTTGTGTTGTCCTATGTAATGTAATGGTAATGAGCGATGTCAGATAATCTCAATGTTGACAAAGCCATACACAGCCATGTGGATGTTTTCTCTTGTCTTGTTGATGTTCTAATCTGGATCCTTATTGTTTGTTGATATTAGGTTCGTTGTTGTGTGCAGGAGGATCACTGTACAACTGCACTATGAAAAAAACGGTATTTGTAGGTCTTTCAAAAGATCATAGTGGATAAAGATCATCATAGTGGATATATAACTTTTCCAGATCTACATATTCAATTAATACTATTTGTTCTCACAGAACAAAGAGCAGTGATGAAAACTCACCTATTAATTTGGATTTAAGGGGAACTGCAAACTATTAAATGGGAAGGATACATATGGAAAGGGAAGGATGCTTATGGAAAGTGCATGTTCAGTTGTGAGGTATTCAGAGGTGTGATGAGCAGAGCCAGTTGAAGCGTGCAGTGAGATCTAGCCTCCGGCAACAAGGATTATCACCATGCAAGTCAGAACAGAGCTCCTCGCCTTGTTCCTGTTATAGAGGGAAGATAATGCTGAGTACTAGGCTATGAAAGTGTGTCTGCAAGTCATGACAAGGAAGTGCGTGCGCGGAGAGAGCCAGAGGGGGAGAGAGAGAGAGCATACTGTGCTGTGTGAATTGTCTCCCACTCGTGTCCTTCAGAGAAAAGGAGGGAGGAGGGAGAGACGGAACCTTGTCCAGGAAGACACTTAAGTTAAATAACTGAGGAGAATCGAGGGGAGGGCACTGTGCTGACCCAGTTGGCTGCAGTATGCCCTGTATAAAGTGACCTTTAACCGACAGTCTCCTTTGTGATTTAGAAATAAATAATACATGATGTCAAGCCCCTCCTCTCACTCCACCTCCCTCAGTGTGGATGTTGTAATAAACCTGCGGGGGGAAATTCCACTTACTCCACCCAACACATAGCCTCAGGTATTGAAAAAGAACAGGAATAATGTCAATCATCTCTTTATTTAAAACGTGAGTTCAGGTTGAATCCTAAAATCCTAATCATGAATATATGCACATACTGTACATGTATTAGGATATAATTTAGAGTAAAATGATGTTCCAAGAGATTGAGGGCCCTTCTATTAAAACTGGGTTTCCAGTATACGGCCAACACCGAATTCCTCTTGCACCACGAGAATGCACCTGTAAATTCATTCAATGCATAAAACAATGTTTACTCTTACTCAAACGTTCTTTTTCACAGTGCAAGAAATACCTGACTACCATATACCTTTATCAGATGTTACCAGGGAAAAGGCCAAAGTCTATAGGCTTTGCTAGGCTCTTCATATCATTTTTCTGTTTTTACTTCCTGTATCTTGAGCTTGCTGGGGATTGTTGTTTTGTGTTTATGTGCTTTCACATAGTAAGACTGTCATAATAAGACTGTCTCTTTTTTCTCCCCCGCCTGTCAATTCTCTCAGCAATTTATAACTATGACTCCAGAGGCGAGCAGGAGCTGTCTCTCCAGGTGGGAGACACTGTACATATACTTGAGACATTTGAAGGTGAGCATGAACAGTCTAGCCTTACTCACATACAACAAGCTGTCACACGCTAAGGAAAAGTTTGCAACACTCTGGAACTTTGTAAAACATTGAACCAAGGCTGTGCTCAATACCAGACATGCATTGAAAATAATCTGCAATGTTTAATGAAATGCTCTTGAAAGATAGAAGAGTCAATATCACCATCTGTATCTAGTTTGCCTTCTTCTCATTGGTCTTATCTCTGTTGTATTTATCCCTCCATCTCTGTCATATCTCTATATCAATCTCTAATCTCCCCAGGCTGGTATAGAGGTCACACATTACGGGACAAATCACAGAAGGTATGGCAACCATACATCCTTTCATAGTGTTTCATTGAAAAAAGAAAATAGTTTGAAGAAGAGGTTTACGTTTCCGTTTCATCTCATAGGGCATTTTCCCAGCCTCGTACATCCACCTGAAGGAGGCTAAAGTTGAAGGGACAGGGTAAGGTGTCACTCATTTCATGTCATGTTATTAGAAATGCATTGTATTTGATGGGATATCTGGTTATTTCTTTCCTTCCCCCTTCAGCCAACAGGAAATAGTTATCCCAGGAGACCTACCATTGGTACTGGAGCTCGGTGCCACTCTGAGGGAATGGGCACAAATATGGCACAACCTTTATGTGGTACGTGGAGAATAATGGTTTCTTATCAATCTCCCTACTTGCATATTTTTCACATTAAAGAATTCACTTGACCCTTATACTGTTATCACACTCACTCTGTTTGGAAAAGTGTGATTCTGTAAGTCTGGGTGGCTGTGATGATGACTGTTTGTTTGACAGAACAACAAGACAACTCTGTTCAGGAACGTACAGCAGATGGCCTACTGCCTCATCGAGTATAGATCTCAGATAGTGTCGGGAACATTGCCCAAGGATGACCTTGTGGAGCTCAGGAAGAAAGTCACAGCTAAGATTGATTATGGAAACCGGTATGAATTGTACTCTACTTGAATTGCATTGTGACATAAACGTGCTTGTAAAGTTTTATGTGACTGAGTCATTGTGCGAAGAATATGCCCTTATAAATCCGTCTAAAGCTATATTTGATGCTTTCTGTACAGGATTCTGGGTTTGGACTTGGTGGTGCGAGATGACGCGGGGAACACTTTAGATCCGGACTGCACCAGCACAGTCAGTCTGTTCCGGGCCTTTGAGACTGCATCCCGCAGTATAGATGACAGAATACAGGAGGAGAAGGCATGGACCAGTGTTGTTTTTGTCGCTCATTTGTCTCTATGACTAATACTGGTTGCGTAGTTAGCCCTGCCGGTGCGTTGTGTTTGTGCTCATACAGTGTCTCTGTGGCCCTCTGTAGACCCGGCTGCAGAACCTGGAGATGAGGCGCCAGTCCCTGTTCAGCACAGTGCACACCTACAGTCTCTTCGTGAACCTCAAGAACTTTGTGTGTAACATCGGGGAGGATGCAGAGCTGCTTATGTCACTCTATGACCCTGACCAGTCTGAGTTCATCAGGTCAGACATCAATGCATTCAGTTCATTGCATTATAGTAAACCAGATAACATCACGGCCAAAATGGAGGCGAAAGAAACCCACACCTATTTAGGCGAGGTGCTGGCTAACGGAGTAGAACACCTGTTTAGGAGAGGTGCTAGCTAACGGAGTAGAACACCTGTTTAGGCGAGGTGCTGGCTAACGGAGTAGAACACCTGTTTAGGAGAGGTGCTGGCTAACGGAGTAGAACACCTGTTTAGGAGAGGTGCTGGGTAGCAGAGTAGAACACCTGTTTAGGCGAGGTGCTGGCTAACGGAGTAGAACACCTGTTTAGGAGAGGTGCTGGCTAACGGAGTAGAACATCTGATAAAGAAAAGGAGAGTCGCTCACTCTAGGAGCTCAGATGCAATAATCTAATAACCAACGTTTCGACAGAAAAGCTGTCTTCATCAGGGTATAATGACAAACACTGCGGGTCACTAGTTTATATAGTGTCAAAGGACACACACAGGTGTCTGTAATCATGGCCGGGTGTGGCCTGATATCATTGGTTAATTCACAGATAAACAGAACATACAAAAAACATGAATAGATAACATACGATCATAGATACAACTTGGCTACATAGGCCCACAAACATTTACAATGAATAGCAAAATCACAAGAATTGCTTCAAATCAAAGTCTACGTTGAGACCGAAGGGAGCAAGGGTCTTTAAATGAAAGATCCAGGCAGCCTCTCGTTTTAACAATAAGTTGTCGAGGTCACCCCCTCTCCTAGGGAGGGTGACATGTTCGATGCCGATATAACGTAGGGACGAAATCGAGTGGTTCGCTTCCAAAAGGTGGGCAGCAACTGGGTATGTCGAGTTTTTGCACCTAATGGTGCTACGATGCTCCGAGATTTGTACTTTTAATTCGCGCTTTGTTTTACCCACATAAATAACTGCCTTAGTGGAGCACGTAATAACACCTTTGTTTGGGGGTGTTTGAAGGATATACATTTGTAAGTGCCATTGCATTGAGCGCAGCCATTACACTTGTAGTTTCCATCTGGTAGAGGCGCAAATAGACGTTGTGCAGGGATATTTAGGGGTGGTAAATCAGAGTTTACCAATTGATCTCTGAGATTTCTGCCCCGCGAGAATACAACCAAGGGAGGGTCCGAAAATACATTACTGATACTGTCATCGGATCTTAGAATGTGCCAATGTTTGTGAACGATTCCCTTAATTTGTTCAGAGCACTTTGAATAGCGTGCAGTTAGAACGCAAGAATGCTTCTTTTTGCGAGACTGTCCTTGAAAGAGATCAGGTCTCGATTTGTTTTGAATTTTCTCAATGGCAGTATTAATCTGACCATTCTGTGGAAACGTTCGTTAATAGGTTATTAAATGATTGCATCTGAGCTCCTAGAGTGTGCAGCTCTCCTTTTCTTTATCAAACATCACGGACAATACCATTTTCTGACACCTTAAAGAAGCTTTTATCCCATAATCATGTGTATTCCATGTCGCTTATATGCATATATTGCATAACATTATATCGCCCTTTTGATATATTTATGCATCTTGTCACCGAAAAGGGTTGTTACAGAATGGCTATAGTGAGGTACAGTGGGGAGAACAAGGATTTGATACACTGCCGATTTTGCAGGTTTTCCTACTTACAAAGCATGTAGAGGTCTGTAATTTTTATCATAGGTACACTTCAACTGTGAGAGACGGAATCTAAAACAAAAATCCAGAAAATCACAATGTATGATTTTTAAGTAATTAATGTGCATTTTATTGCATGACATAAGTATTTGATCACCTACCAACCAGTAAGAATTCCGGCTCTCACAGACCTGTTAGTTTTTCTTTAAGAAGCCCTCCTGTTCTCCACTCATTACCTGTATTAACTGCACCTGTTTGAACTCGTTACCTGTATAAAAGACACCTGTCCACACACTCAATCAAACAGACTCCAACCTCTCCACAATGGCCAAGACCAGAGAGCTGTGTAAGGACATCAGGGATAAAATTGTAGACCTGCACAAGGCTGGGATGGGCTACAGGACAATAGGCAAGCAGCTTGGTGAGAAGGCAACAACTGTTGGCGCAATTATTAGAAAATGGAAGAAGTTCAAGATGACGGTCAATCACCCTCGGTCTGGGGCTCCATGCAAGATCTCACCTCGTGGGGCATCAATGATCATGAGGAAGGTGAGGGATCAGCCCAGAACTACACGGCAGGACCTGGTCAATGACCTGAAGAGAGCTGGAACCACAGTCTCAAAGAAAACCATTAGTAACACACTACGCCGTCATGGATTAAAATCCTGCAGCGCACGCAAGGTCCCCCTGCTCAAGCCAGCGCATGTCCAGGCCCGTCTGATGTTTGCCAATGACCATCTGGATGATCCAGAGGAGGAATGGGAGAAGGTCATGTGGTCTGATGAGACAAAAATATAGCTTTTTGGTCTAAACTCCACTCGCCGTGTTTGGAGGAAGAAGAAGGATGAGTACAACCCCAAGAACACCATCCCAACCGTAAAGCATGGAGGTGGAAACATCATTCTTTGGGGATGCTTTTCTGCAAAGGGGACCGGACGACTGCACCGTATTGAGGGGAGGATGGATGGGGCCATGTATTGCGAGATCTTGGCCAACAACCTCCTTCCCTCAGTAAGAGCATTGAAGATGGGTCGTGGCTGGGTCTTCCAGCATGACAACGACCCGAAACACACAGCCAGGGCAACTAAGGAGTGGCTCCGTAAGAAGCATCTCAAGGTCCTGGAGTAGCCTAGCCAGTCTCCAGATCTGAACCCAATAGAAAATCTTTGGAGGGAGCTGAAAGTCCGTATTGTCCAGCGACAGCCCCGAAGCCTGAAGGATCTGGAGAAGGTCTGTATGGAGGAGTGGGCCAAAATCCCTGCTGCAGTGTGTGCAAACCTGGTCAAGACCTACAGGAAACGTATGATCTCTGTAATTGCAAACAAAGGTTTCTGTACCAAATATTAAGTTCTGCTTTTCTGATGTATCAAATACTTATGTCATGCAATAAAATGCACATTCATTACTTAAAAATCATACAATGTGATTTTCTGGATTTTTGTTTTAGATTCCGTCGCTCACAGTTGAAGTGTACCTATGATAAAAATTACAGACCTCTACATGCTTTGTAAGTAGGAAAACCTGCTAAATCGGCAGTGTATCAAATACTTGTTCTCCCCACTGTATGTGAGTTGGGATTCCTGATTGTTTATGACATGTCTGCAGTGAGAACTTCCTGGTGCGCTGGGACAGCATGGGCATGCCCAAAGAGATTGAGAAACTCAACAACCTGCCTGCCCTCTTCACGGTAACAGAGATTAAACCCTCCTTTCCACTTTCTGTCTTTTTTCTCTGTTGTAAATGTAAAAACTAGTAGCCATCTGGCCTAACAGATGGACAGGCAGTGACAGTCCTTGGTTGGGGCATGCTATGCCATGCGATTTATTTCCTCAAACAGGCTCTTAATCTGAACTGCTCACATTAAGCTTTGAATAAGCAGAATTGCATAAGATATTCAATATTTTCTGCCAAGCAACTTTAATTGTACTTGCATTATGTAGTCCTTATCTTTGCATTGAAATTCTCTCCTTCACTCTGGCTAGGATCTGAGCAGCAGTGACCTGATTAGGCCACGTCTGTTCCTCGTCTGTCAGATTATCAGGGTGGGCAGCATGGAGCTCAAGGAGGGCAAGAAACACACGGGAGGGTTAAGGAGACCGTTTGGTGTGGCTGGTGAGATGTCTTTTAATGCTTCACTATATTTGTTTGTGCACGTTCACACATTCAATTCAATGGAATTCAATAAATCTGAGATTAGAACACTACCCCATACTCAGAGTTTGAGTGAATGGGTACATTGAGAGCCTAAATAACAAGTTACAGTAGGAATCCCTGTCCTGGATAAAAGCCAGACACACCATAAGCACACCTGCACCTGCTTACCATCCTGACTCATAAAACACATCCACATTGTCTGCCTCGCCAAAGAAGTCAGGGGAAATGGTTTTAACAGTCCTCTTTCTTTTGAGTGGAGGATTACATTTCTGTGTTGGATGAGAAATGGTTTCCTCAGGTGTCACAACAAATGCACTGAACCCAGCTATTATTATGAGAGGAAGAGGAATGCCTACTGAACCATCTTTTGCAACACAAAGCTCAATGTCACACAGACAGGCCTGCTGGAATCCTACCTATGCTGTTTTTGTGGCTGTCTCTTGTTCTTATTGGCACTCTGGTACATTGCAACAGGTGTATGAGGGCCCTATAACTAGTTTTCAAACACAAACAACATTGTGGTTCTGCTCTGTAGTTTACTTAATCAGAGTGAAGACCTCTGCTGTAAAATGGCTCGAGTTGGGAAATCAAATACCAAAGATCTTAAAGTGAGGCCATACTAGCAGCAGCAGTGGCAATAACTGGATAATTGAATTGATAGCAGCTTATTATATTAGCCACCTATCACCACCACATTCACAACGTCATTGTCTCTGTTCACAGTGATGGACATCACAGATATTGCCCATGGAAAAGCAGACGATGAGGAGAAGCAGCATTTCATCCCCTTTCAGCAGTAAGTGTTTTAAAATCTCCCACAGCCTCTGCTCATTTTCACCCTGTGTTAATGGTCCCCACTCCCCAGTCCATTTGAAATCAACTTGCTCTTACACCATTATAGTCAAATGAAAAATGGCTTGAACTCTGTTAGGATACAGCACTTCAAGAAATGCATTATGCTTGCTATTGCTATACCATACTGTAGATCAAGGACAAGTCTAAGTTTGTAGTGCAGTGTTAACTAAAATGCAACTGTTTACTATTCCTGCTTGGTCACATGCACTTTTATATTTTGTAGATTTTCCTCCAATATCTCAATATGCTTTTCGTAGCTCTATGATTTGTGATCAATCCACTTGTCAGTCCCACTTTTACAATCTATTTCTCCCCCTCTCCTATTCCTTCCCCTTTCTCCCAGGATAGCTATGGAGACCTACATCCGTCAGAGGCAGCTCATTATTTCTCCTCTCCTCCCATCCCGGGTCATTGGAGAGAACGAGCCTCTCACCGCCGTCTTCAACAAAGTCATTAACACCCGGGAGGTCAACCACAAGGGCCAGGGTAAAGAGACACTCTCACGGACATTCTATGGCAACAACTCACCAGGTTGCCCAAAATATAGTAGAGTAGAACAGAATCTAAAATAAAAAAGGAATATAACTCAGAAGGGGCTTTTGAAATGTGGGTCTCGGTTCTAAATAGGAGCATTACAGGTTGTGTGTATCAATTCCGAACATTCTGTTAGTGCCTCTGTCTTACTAACCTTCTCTTCATTGACGGGCCCTGTTGGGTTCTCAGGACTGTTTGTGACCCTGAAGCTGCTTCCTGGTGACCTGTCCCAGGTCAGGAAGGACTACCCTCACTTTGTGGATCGCACCACCGCCATCGTCAGAAAGATGGGCTTCCCTGAGATCATCCTCCCAGGTGCCATACGTTTGCATTTTCATCTTTGTAGCTGAATTGTATCTGAAACAATGGGTTGCATACTTTGTAGCTGCCTTTACAGCAGTGACAGTCAATAGATCGTTGTTTAGTATTAACCAACTATTTCTCCTCTAGGATATGTGAGGAACGATATCTATGTCACCTTGCTGCAGGGGGAGTTTGACCGTGGTAAAAAGACGTCACCCAAAAATGTTGAGGTGATGTTGAGTGTACTAGATGACGATGGCAATCTCATGGAGGTAAGGGTGCCGTCCTAACATTTATATGTGCCTCCACCTTTCTTTCTTTAACAATTCTGACCTCAAGGATTGCATGCCGGTCAACTCATGTTTGTTGGTTGACTGTAAGACAACAATGTAGTTCAAGGTTTATTACACAATGACCCAAATTAATTTTTACATGTAATGTATTAAATGGGTGTTCCAATCTTCAAAAAAAGTATCCTATGTTTGACTGAAGCTCATTCTGTCCCCTTGAATAGAAAGCAATATTTCCTGGAGCTGGATATGATGGGATCACAGAATACAAGTCTGTAATTTACTACCAAGTCAAGCAGCCGAGCTGGAATGAAACAGTCAAGGTACAGCTCACTTTCCAGCATCCCAGGTGTTTCTATCAGGCCTCTCCTCATGGTGGCTCAAGTTCAGCAATTACTTTCCCAAATCAATTTGGCTCTATAAAATTTAAACCTTTAGAGGAGCTATTGGCAAGGATTGTTTCACTCATACAAAATGCTAGACAGACACCAGACAGGACTTTCTCTGTCTATAATCTTGTCATGATACTCTCCTCACTCCTCTCTCCTCTCCTCTCCTCACTCCTCTCCTCACTCTCCTCTCCTCTCCTCACTCCTCTCTCCTCTCCTCACTCCTCTCTCCTCAAACCTCTCTCCTCTCCTCTCCTCATCCCTTTATTCTCCCCCTCCAAGGTGACTATTCCTATTGAAGATGTGGGCCGCTGTCATCTCAGGGTGATGTTTCGACACAGATCATCTCAGGACTGTGAGTGCCTCACATTTCTAAAACACTCGACACCCAGGCAGCCTGCCCTAACCCTCTGGGAGCTGGTCAGCATGAGTATGAATGTGTTCTTCAGAGTTGGTTGATTGGGTCCTCACTGGCACTGCTGTTTCTCCTTTAGCTAGAGACAAATCAGAGAAGCCATTTGGCATGGCGTTCGTCCGCCTGATGAAAGGAGACGGAACCACGCTGAGAGACGGCAGACATGACCTCATCGTCTACAAGGTGGGACCAGCACACCACTCTGCTACTGTCACTAGGGTTGCAAAGGGAGGGTTTATTACTGGAAACTTTTGAAGTTTACAAGTAAGCTACCAGAATTTTGGTATCTTTCAAGGAATTTATGTAATCTATCACAATACACCTAGTTGCCCTTTTGGCTACTTCAGATTATCACAGGTGTCTGTAATTATCTCTGGCCCTCTGTGTGGCCTTATCAATGTAAAATATATGAAATAATGAAATAAGATGATATAAAAATATAACAACAAAGCTGTAAAACATTAGCCTAAATTTAAACCATCAACTTCGTGAATACCATTGGTGTTTAATATGAGGGTTTCCGCATGAAAAATTAAGAGCGTTGTGCCAGTAACCGAAAGGTTGATGGTTCGAATCCTGGAGCCGGCAACGTGGAAAAATCTGCCGTTCTGCCCTTGAGCAAGGCAGTTAACCCCCAACAACAACTGCTCCCCAGGCACCGATGACGTGGACGTCGATTAAGGCAGCCCCCGGCACCTCTCTGATTCAGAGGGGTTGGACTGAATGCGGAAGCCACATTTCAGTTGAATGCATTGTTGTGCAACTGACTAGGTATCCCCTTTCCCTATCTACTAGAAACTTGTGGACAATATAGACACAAATAAATGAATACTATATATGAATACATAAAAAAAAAAAAAAAGTTATTCCGATATAAATATATATAAAGTTATGATAGATTGCTATAGAGTTTCTGTTAATTACCAAAATTACTAAAGATTTGGTTAACTTTGGTAAATTACCGGTAGCTTTGCAACCCAAGCTTTCACAAACCCTGTATGATGTAGACATCTTGGTGGAAACAGAGGGTTCTGATACATTTGTCTACAGATCTTTCTTTCCCCATAGGAATTATTTTTCATGATCTATGAAATAGTGAAGTAATTATTTTTGATATTTTATATAAAATAAAAAGCTCCCTGGTCAATGAATATCAAATTACATATCGATGAATATGTTTAAGTATTTATATATATTTTTTCTCTTAGGTTGACGTGAAGAAGACTGAGGATGCAAAGACATACCTGACTCTGCCAGGCTCCTGGGCTGAAGTGGAGGAGAAGGAGAGGCAGACAGGGAAAACCTTTCAGCATTCAGGAGTCATCCCACTCACCAAGGACAGCTTCCAGATTGGCACTCTCACCTGCTCCACTAAACTCACCCAGAATGGTACTGTAGTAGGACACAATCATCTCTAACAATGTATTAAGAATCAAACCGTCGCTAACAAATAAAATCGAACCAAACGCTTTCTGCACTTCGGCTCGTAATACTAATCAGAGTGGTGTTGACGTACTCATCCAAGTTTATATGAAATCCAAGGGTCAGTAAAAGTTAGATGCTGCTGTTCCTCTGCTGTTTTCCAGTGGATCTCCTGGGCCTGTTGAACTGGAGGTCCAACCCTGAAGAGCTGGACCAGAACCTGCAGCGCCTGATGGAGGTCGAGGGAGGGGAGATTGTCAAGGTGAGTCTGACTGCTGCAGAGTTAGCATTCTTAACTGGCTTTACATACAAGGACACCCTAGCCTAATGCATTTGTCTTTTGTGGTCTTAGTTTCTACAGGACACACTTGATGCCCTCTTCAGCATCATGATGGAGACTTCAGAGGAGGATACTTATGACACGCTGCTGTTTAATGCTCTGGTGAGTTCTGGAGTGGTGGGTTAATTACTTGCATTAAGCTATCAGGATTAATGGCATCTGTCATTAATATACCAAAAGACAATTGTGTATATAAGAAATGATTCATGATACAACATTTTCTAGCAGGATTCTATATTACACTGGTTCTTGACTGTGCTCTGCATTTCTTCTAGGTGTTCATAATCACACTGATTGGAGACATCAAGTTCCAGCACTTTAACCCAGTACTGGAGACATACATCAACAAGCACTTCAGTGCCACTCTGGCTTACATGTGAGTCTAGCTCCCTCCTTTCTCATATTTTCCTCTCTTTGACACCTCTCCACCCATTCAGAATTAATTTATATGTCATTACTGGTATGCCTGAGTTCCCCATTCCATTACTTTTTCAGGAAGCTGACGAAGGTTCTGAATTACTATGTGGGCCATGCAGATGAGCCTGTCCTAACCGAGAGACTGTACTCAGCCCTCAAAGCCCTCAAGTACCTGTTCAGGTTCATTGTGCAGTCCCGGGTCCTCTACCTCAGGTATCATAGCCGTGACCTTCCTTCCTCATACTAATACATTTGGGAGACAATATTAGTTTGTTTGTGAAATGAGCAATGTCCTTCATTTGTTTACTCAGATTCTATGGGACCAGTGAGGATGCTTTCTTCAACTCCATACGGACACTCTTCCTCTCCTTCAACACACTCATGGACAGACCGCTGGATGAGGGAGTGAAGATAAAGGTGAGTTGGTTTAGGGGAGAGAAACTGGGATGGACACTTACATGGTACTTCATCTTCTTTAATGCACACTCTGTTAACATGGCATAGCCTGGTAATGCAACATTTGTACAAACTAGCTTACCCTTTCTATGTTTATGGAAGCCTTGTGCTGGCTTCATGAAAGATAGTTGAAGTAAAGGTTTACTTGATAAACTGCAGAAGAACGTTCATTAAAACACTTTCTAGCTGACTAGCGCTGTAAAACACAAAAGCCTTATCCAGTATTTCCCTCATGTTCTTTTTTAAAGACTTTTGAGACCTTCTTGTCTTTTTCAGGGGGCGATACTGAAATACCTACCCACCATCATTAATGACATCAAGAATGTCTTTGATCCTGTGGAGCTCAGGTAACTCCTTGTAATGACGTTTCAACTGTCGAATCTGCAGAAATGATACTATTTCCTGTATAGAAAAATGTCCTTGTCTCTTTCTCTATTTTGTCCTGTCTCTCTCTCGCTAGTGTTCTTTTGACCAAGTTCATCGAGAGCATCCCTGACTCTCAGCTGGTGCGCCAGAAGCTTGGTTGCATGTGTAAGATGGTGGAGAGTGACCTTTTCAAACAGTCAGGTACTGTAGCGCCTCTCTGGCTCAAACATAACTTTATAAGAATCTCTATTTAAAAACAGAACCACAGGATGACACATTTTAATCGTCTCTATTCCTCTTTGACCCCACAGAGTGTCGAGATGTCCTTTTGCCGCTGGTGACAGACCAGCTGAGTGGGCAGCTGGATGACCACTCCAATAAGCCAGACCACGAGGCCTGTGTTCAGCTGCTCAGCACTGTGCTGGACAACCTGGACCGCAAGGATGTGGTGAGTAGCTAATGGCTACAGCACACATCTATCTCTGCCATTGGAAACACTGAAATCAGTGACATCCCTGACTCTAACTGGATTGGTTTTGATACATTCATTTTTGATCTGACCTGTTTGTCTGTGTCCCAAGGGTCCAACCCGGGGCCATGTCCAGCTGATTATGGAGCGGCTGCTTCGCAGGGTCAATCGCACTGTCATCAGCATGAGCAGAACCTCCACTCTCATTGTAAGTCACATACTCAGTACTCTGAAAGTTCTTCATCTAACTCAAAATAAGAAGTCAGTTATTTTCAATTGTTCAGTTGGTAATTATTTATTCTAAGTTTCCATGTACAAGGCACAGTGCTGAAAAGCTGCTTCTATGCATCCTATAAATAACTTAGCACTTATAAGCATACAACAATGAATGATAGCTTATAATTAGCTTATAAGCATAAAACATGTTATATGTAGGAACCTAAAGTAGTTTTACAACTAAGGTGACTGATGCTCTGTCTTCTCAATGGCAGGGTCATTACCTAGCCTGCATGACTGCCATCTTGAAGCAAATGGATGACATGCACTACACCCACTACATCAGCACCTTCAAGACCAGACAAGACATCATTGTAAGTGGGCCGGCCCACCTCCCCTGCCCTGGGCATGGCTCTTCCTGAATCATCCAGTTGATAGCTGGCATTCAACCGCTGGTGCTTGTAACTGCTCCTGAAGTGATTATTGATTATAGACATTTGATGGGACTGACTTGGAACAACGTGAGGCTCTCCCTGTCCTTGCTTCTTTACTGAGCTGTGTGGGTCTAATATGAGAAATGCTAGGGGACTGCTGTGCATAGTTCAGCATGTTACTAATCGATCGACTTGGTCAGAAACAAAACCCCCACATGTTTGTGCAGACATGAAGATGCATACATCTAGGTACTTTCAGTACAGGCAAGGTAACTGTTCTCTCCCTGGCCCACTACAGGACTTCCTGATGGAGACATTCATCATGTTTAAGGACCTGATGGGGAACGTTTTCCCCTCTGACTGGATGACCATGAACCTCCTGCAGATTGGGGTGTTTCTGCGGGCCATCAACCAGTACTCTGAGGTCCTCAACATGTACTTCATGGACCAGACCCACTTTGAGCTGCAGGTGGGTATCCAGTCACTGCCTCCTGATGGGGTGGACAAAAGACATCCATGTCTCTCTGCTAATGTAAACTTCTTTAGCTCAATCATTGTCCCAATGTCTGTGTAAAAAATGATCATATTTTATTTTCAGCTCTGGAACAACTACTTCCACTTGACTGTTGCATTTCTTACCCACAAGTCATTGCAACTGGAATCCTTCTCTCAAGAAAAACGGAATAAAATAGTGAACAAGTATGTCCTTTTCTTCTTTGGTTCAATTAGTTTAATATACGGATTCCCTTAAACTAATAATACTAAATAAAGATTTGCACAGAGAACTGAATTTTATGTATAAGAAATTATGCTGTAAGTAAGTTTGTGTGCATTTGCTCTACTGTATGTAGTATAATTATATGTTGTGGTTACAGGTATGGAGACATGAGGAAGAGCATTGGCTTTAAGATCAGAGATATGTGGTATAATCTTGGTAAGTACCGTCCGGTGGTTGTTATCTCTGTGAGACAGAAGTTCAACAAATGGAGACATCTATATAATGGCCTGTTCAGTGGCAAAAGGCTTTGAGGACAATGTTGTTTTATTGCCTAGTTTCATGGTGGCCTGCTTTTTGTTAACCATTTCATGAGTTTACTGTCCTGTTTGCATGAACATGGAGGGCCACTTATTGCCCTTTCAAATGAGCTTGTGTGACATTTGCTTCTGACTTTATCCTGTGTGCATCCCTCAGGCCCCCACAAGATGAAGTTCATCCCTGCCATGGTGGGGCCCATCCTGAAGGCTACCCTGGTGCCTGAGCCAGAGCTGAGGAAAGCCACCCTCCCCATCTTCTTTGACATGATGCAGTGTGAGCACAACTTCACTCCCAGCCGCACCTTTAACATGGTGAGATAGCTGCCCACAGTAGTCCTTCCTGTCTGGCTTTACAGTATTACTGTACAAACAGAGTTTCCCAGCTGTATTTGGCTGAGCAGATTGTTTTTGTCTTTCTGTATCTGTAGTTTGAGAATGAACTGATCACCAAGTTGGATCAGGAGGTGGAGGGAGGCCGTGGGGATGAACAGTACAAAATCCTGCTGGAGAAAACGTAAGCACCCTGCCAATAACCCTGCCAATCAGTCAGAGGCTAATGCCTTTTTCTTATTAGTCATACCTCATGGTTTCATAGTCAAGACCTAAATAAGGACTATATAACTCCCTCATTCATTGACATTTTGTATTGTTGGTATTGTGTAGGCTACTGGAGCACTGCCGGAGGCATAGATACCTGTCTCAGTCAGGGGAGGAGCTGGCTCTGCTGCTCAGCAGTCTGCTGGAGAAGCTACTGGCCTACCGCACCATCACACATGACGAGAGCCCTGAGCTCCGCATGAGCTGCACCGTCAACGTCCTGGTACGCCCTTACAGTACATCACTAAGAGGCAGGGGAGCGCCTACCAGGTGCTAACTAACACCTCGGACTGGTTTATGTGGAACTCACACTCTAATCAGAACGATTGAGCCACACTCGCCACCTCAGAAGAATATTATATGAAGATGTTATGTTTCTACATTGAACCAATTGATTTTAACCTACAAAATATTATCAAACATTTGTACAAAAGCTGAGTTTTTCCACTGTTTTTATTCTGGTTGTGACAGAACTTCTACAAGGAGAAGAAGCGGGAAGACATTTACATTCGGTGAGACGGATGATTTAATGAATACTCTTCTTTGGATCCCATTTTGTTAGCTATCAATCTGAAACAGGAAAAAGTATCCGCACACTTCCAGTCAGCTGCAAATGTATTTTAATTATAGCTGAGCTTTCGGTCAGCCGACCTTCATCAGAGCAAGGTCGACTGACCGAAAGCTCAGCTATAATTAAAATAAATGTACATCTGACTGGCAGTGTACAGAGACTTTTTCTCCAGTTTTGCCTTTTGCCTCCAGCACCTTCACAAATCAGCTTTGGGTGTGCGGTAGATTCTGTCTATTATCTGTTAGATATCACTCTAAAATACTGACCTTGTCCTCAGGTATCTGTACAAGCTAAGGGATTTACACCTTGTCTGTGAGAACTACACGGAGGCAGCCTACACCCTGTTACTTCACGCTGAACTCCTCGAGGTCTCACTCAGATTAACATTCAATTCGACTTTCAATGAAAACAGCAGTCTTTGGCTTATTTCCCTAAAATTCCAGTTAACTTACTATAACATTCATTACTAGAAAACTAAATGCGCTTTGTGTATTGTGTAAATTGCCCTTCTCAGTGGTCTGACAAGCCCTGTGCCCCACATCTGATCCCCGGTCATGGCAAACATGTCTGGACCCAGCAGGAGCTCAAAGAGAGACTCTTCCAGGAGATCATCTGTAACCTGGACAAGGGCAAAGTGAGTTCTCACCCAGTCACCCTATTAGGAAGCATGCTCTACGGATGTTGTCAAGTATATTGGCACCATTGCACTTTACAATGGAGTGCAATGGAGCAGAATGTTCTGTTTTCTCTTTTCAAAACTAGTTGAATGGCTATTTTTACCCTGTAGGCACCTGCAACTTACCACAAGTAGATAATTGTGGGACTTATTATTAAATGTTTTGGTTCTGTGCAGTTGTAAATCAAACAAATACACGTATGAACACCAAACGTTTCTATATTTCACAGCATATGTAGTGTCAGAGATCCTATGCTACTTACCCCTCAACATGCCATATGAGCTACTGTCAGAAATATTTGTGTCAGTTTCATTTGCTACAAAAGAAGCTGAGGGCCATATTCAATCAAACATGGTTACCAGGTTTCTGGGTTAGGCTAAACATTTCTCCTGTTCACCGCAGTACATCAACCATGAAACCTGCTGTCTGAGTTTGATTGAATAGAGGTGTTAGTGACGGACAGATGGTGATGTCTAGACCATGTTCACATCTCGTGTCTTTTTTTACCAACTGCTGCATTTATCTGTTCAGATGTGGGAGAAAGCCATTGAGATGGGTAAACAGCTGGCAAAGATGCACGAGAACCAGATGTTTGACTTCATGGAGCTTAGCCAGCTGCTGGTAAGAGGACTTATCATTTGCTATCGTGTTTTAGTCTGAGATTTAATCAAAATATTGTCACTACTAAATAGAAATTGTCCCTAAAACATGCAAACAGTAAAACCAAAAATGATTATCCTCTTAGTTTCTACATGTAAAAAAATAATGCTTATGAAGGCTCCACATACAATGCCAGAAAGGGATTGTCAATGTGTAGTCCTGTGTAGCTCAGTTGGTAGAGCATGGCGTTTGCAACGCCAGGGGTTGTGGGTTCGTTTCCCACGGGGGACCAGTATGAAAAAAAGAAATGTATGCACTCACTAACTGTAAGTCGCTCTGGATAAGAGCGTCTGCTAAATGACTAAAATGTAAATGTCAATAGCCCACTGCCAATTTAGTGTGAGGCCTTTTCAATAGGATCAGGTCCACTGCTGTATTAACATGCTTTTCAGTGCCCACAAAGTCTAGGAGTTAATTAGATACAATGCCAATAAATTGTTCAAGATACATTGTCAAGGGCTAGGACAACCAGACAACCATGTCTTGTCTAAGACAGAAAGTCATTTCAGCTAGCCCAATCCAAATGACAGTGATAGTTGAAGAAAAAAACAACCCATTACTGCAGAAACAGAGTTGCTGCCACACTTGTGTCCAACCTTTTACCCAATTGTCCCACCCATGCACTGCCGGTTGACATACTGGAATCTGCCATTAGGAAGTAACACTCAGTTAATTATGATGTGATACTCTATTTTAAGTCATGTTTTTGTAAATACTGTGTCATCATGGTATTCAACAGTCCTTATCTGCAATGGAGTGGTACAAAAACAGTGTTTTGCTACACTGCTATGAATCTATGTTCATTATGGATCCTCAAATTTCACACTTAACCAAGTTAAGTGCACACGGAACTGGTTAGATACTACAGTATTTTAGGTGTTTCCTGTTGTTTGTTATCTGTGTTCCTGATTGTGGCTTTGTTAATTTAGCTCATTGTTACTACAGCCTCTATACTCTCCCTACTGTTGTCCACAGAAACAGCAAGCCCAGTTCTATGAGAATATAATGCATGCCATGCGACCTCAGCCAGAATACTTTGCTGTGGGATACTATGGCCTTGGATTCCCCACTTTCCTCAGGGTAAGATTATTACATATTTTCAGAAATCCAGCCTCCATAGCACATTTCAAGGTCTGTCTCATACACCTGAGATATTTGTATTCATGTGCCGTTTATTCATTTTACTTATGGAACTCTCAATAAAATTAAATGACGATGTACAATGCAGGCTATACTAGTTACCAGGTCCATAAAGCAGTGGGGGATTCTATGGATTGAATACCTTCCATGATCTTGTCAGTTTCAGGTCAGAATAGCCTTAATTTGGCAGAAGCACATCTATTTCTACAGTGCAGGGGCACATTCCTGTCTACCACAGTCCATCTTAAATTTAAGCTTTGACATCTTCTGTAGCATGTCATTCTATAACAACGTTCTAATTAAATCATATCATTCATATTTGATTGGCTACCATATATAGTGGCTCACCCTATCTTTGAATGGATTTGCTCATACAGAACAAAGTGTTCATCTACCGTGGTAAGGAGTATGAGTGGCTGGAGGACTTCAGTCTGAAGCTGCTGTCTCAGTTCCCCAATGCAGCCAGGATGACCAGCACCGCGCCCCCTGGGGACAACATCTGTAACTCCCAAGGACAGCGTATCCTTCATCTCTGTTGAAGCATGCCCTCATGCTCCCAGCTATGAATGCTATTTAAATGTTAATTGGTGTTAATGCTTCTAGTCAGAACATTATTCATTTGATGTATTTCCCATTTATGGGCAAGTCTTATTAGACCTTTCTCAAGGACAGTTTTGAGCCAGTAATCCACTGGCCCCCGTCTCCGTTTCCCCCTACAGCACTAAAAATGTTTTTGTTTTTTGAATAATACACAGTCTTGTCCTTACCTGCTCTTTACAGACATCCAGTGTTTTACAGTCAAGCCAGTCCTTACTGTGCCCACCCAGTTCAAAGACAAGGGGGTTCCTGAGCAGATCTTGAAGTAAGGAACACAACAGCTTGTGGTTGAATATATTTTCTTAGTTCTTACTCATGCAACTCCTTTGTCCCTCTTCCTCTCCTAGCTACTACAGAACCAATGAAGTGGACCAGTTCCAGTATTCCAGACCCTTCAGGAAAGGTGCAAAGGACCCCGACAATGAATTTGCAGTGAGTACCTCGCACACAGCTCAGACAGACTCACCATGCTGCAGAGCCCTATCAAAGCCAAATCCCTCCATTTGCATGCACACACTCCTGTCTTTGAACATCTCTAAACTCAGGAATGTAACCCTTTGTGATTAGATGTTGAATAAAAGAGGTTGTTGCTCAACATTTGTGTTGACCATTCATTCATATTTTCCGCCTCATGTTACAGACCATGTGGATCGAGAGGACGACTTACATCACAACCTATCACTTCCCAGGGATTCTCAAATGGTTCGAAGTGAAGTCCATCTCTGTTGTAAGTTCTCTCAGTAATGATGATGACAATCACAATAAGACAAACGTACTGGTGTTAATGTGCTGTATGTTGAATCTAAACACGGTTAAGTACTCCGCTACCACCCATAGCAAATAGTTCCTACTCACCCAATTTGGTCTTTTACACTTTGATGTCTCCTCACCTCTCCTGGTTTTCCTATTGGTCAGGAGGAGATCAGCCCTCTGCAGAATGCTGTGGAGACCATGGAGATGGCCAATGAGAAGCTCAGTAACCTGGTGCAGCAGCAGGCATGTGACAGCTCCACGTCCGTCCACCCACTCTCCATGATGCTCAATGGCATTGTTGACCCTGCCGTCATGGGTGGCTACTCCAACTACGAGAAGGTTTGACTTGACTATTACTTCCTAGGAGCTTGAATCCTATACAATTTTGTCTCGCATTTCAGTGAAGATTTGTAACCTGATATTCTTATTTCCTAGGTCACTCTGTTATTTTAGCTAGTATTTAATGTGCATATGACAACATCTTCATGTCTCAAAATGGTAAACTTGTTTCCACCCCCTTTCTCTCTCTTCAGGCATTCTTCACGGACACCTACATGCATGAACACCCAGACGACCTTGAGAGCATTGAGGTCCTCAAACATCTTATTGCCCTCCAGGTAAATCCTCATTCTCTCCTTGCTATTGAACCTGTACTTAGACATAAAGTACCTGCTGTAAGAACAGAGGCTCCCTCCTCCTCATACCCTCAGATCCCTCTCCTGGCTGATGGGATCCGGATCCACGGAGAGAAATCCACTGAGCAGCTGAAGCCCTTACACAACCGCCTGCTCACCTGTTTCTCTGACCTGCGGGAGAGAGTAGAGAAGCATTATGGCGTCATAACCCTGGTCAGTTGCCAATAGCAAACTCTTATTTAATTTAAGAGTGTGCCAAATTTAGCTATTGGCTCCTCTGCCTCCCTATCAAACTTCCCTCATTCAAAGCAGAGTTTACATTATATTGCTGCAGGACCATACATCTTGCTGAAGGCACTCTATTGCTGCTAGTGTTTTGCCTGTCATTCCGCTCACCCCCTGCCAAGTTTCCTGATGATGTTTAATCCCATTTGTGTGTCCCAGCCGTGCTCTCTCACTGAAAGGAAGAAGAGTCGCGTGGGCTCCGTAGTGATGCCCTACATCCTGTCCTCCACCCTGCGCCGCATGTCCACTGTCTCCATCCTCTCTACCACCTCCTCAGGCCTCTCCAGCGGCTCCACCTCCTCTGACGGACCCTCCCGGCCCTCTTCCTCCCAGGAGTCAGTCCCTCACCTCCTCCATCCTCCCTCCTCCTCCCAGGAGTGTCCCTCAACTCCATCCTCCCTCCTCCTCCTCCTCCCAGGAGTCAGTCCCTAACCCTCCCTCCTCCCCAGAGTCAGTCCCTCACCTCCCTCCTTCCTTCCTTCATCCTCCCTCCTCTTCCTAGGAGTCAGTCCCCCTCCTCCCTCCCTCCTCCCTCCCTGTGTTTGTCTCCCTTTTGGGCTGCTCTGGTGTAGTCTATTTGTGTTGCTATGTTTGTAAGGAATATTTGTCTGTGCTTTTCCACATCTCACAGTGTGACATTCTGAAGTCTTGCACATGCCAATATAACCCTCTAACTGTATACCTCCCCCCCATTGTCTCTCTCTCTCTCGCTGTCCTGATGACCTGATATCCATCATCAGTTCACTGTTGTCCCGTGACACTGCCAACGATCGCCGGGCCTCGATGTTGTCCCGCTCTGAGGATGACAACCGGATCGGTCGAAAGAACCGAAAAGAATGGAGTGTGAGCAAGTCACAGGTTTTGGTGGAGAGACAGACAGACATAGATGAGGTAACTACAACTGTTTTTGGCTCATGCATTAAGGCACAAATGGCTAATACATTCACAGTAATTACTTGACTGTGATTTCAAGGAGGGCTGTATCTTTGTACTCTACTCCTTAGCAGACCCTTCCAGAGAAGCCGCAGAGACCCAAAAGTCTGCAGTTTGGGGACCGTCGCCTGACCCTGTCTCTGTTCCAGGGTGCCTCCTCTCAGCTCAGCCTTGGCAACCCTCTCAGCCCCCTGCCAGCCTCTCCTCACACTCCTCACAGCTCCAGTACGTAGCTTAGCTACACACAAAGCATACATACAAAGCAGCCTATCCCACACAACCTTAAAGAGATGCGTACAGCTTCACCCTGCACACAGAAATACAGAACCCTGTTTAGGATCCTTACTTCTTGTCCATGTAGTTCACACACAAACTGTTGTAGCTGTCATGCAGCCTAAAATGTGTTTTGTCACTCGCTCTCTCTGCAGATTATTCATCTCTCCCCGGTGATAATAATGCCACCACTGACACTCCCGGGACACCCCCACCCATGCCACCAAAGAAACATCCCCACGAGATGTTTGACATCTCCCAAAACTCCCTTGAGGTACATCTAGACTGAAAACATCTCTATTTTTAGTAAAATGCACATTGTGAAACAGAATATTTTTAACATTATCTTTTTTCCCCCCGGTCTCTCCGTAGTTCCACCCTCCTCTGCCTCAGAAAATTGACAGCAAGCCCCCTCCACCTCCTCCTAAGACCAGGAAGTCTATGTTCCCTGGCTCCTACGAGAATAATCCTCAGTGAGGATCCTCCACCCGGACAGTCCCTCTCATCTGGTTCAGACCTGCTGCCTGGGATAAGGGCTTGGTTCATCTTGTGGTACTGTAGCACTTTATCTACAGTACTATTTCAGGACCAGTACTATTACCTGTTATGTACTTCAAAATTACATGTCAACAATTTATATTTCTGATACTTACTACAAGTTATTCCAACAAACTGGTACGTGTGATGTGTGTGCCCTGTAAATCTCTAAGAAACAGAAGCATAATTGTTTCCATACTAAAGTAATTGAATGGTATGTTGTAAAATGAAGTGTGACAGATTTCTGTGTAAGCCGTGGTGCGTGGGGTCACAAGTCTTTTCATTTTTAGAGGAGAGTCCATTTATAGTCTAGTTTCCTGGGAATGTGGTATTAGATCAAGGTGGATTTAATTCATGATTTGGGAAGTGTATATAGTTCTGAAAAAGCAATAATAACGGTGACCGTAGCATATTTCCCAAGGATCTTTGAGGTGTTGTTGTATATAGTGTAGTATATATTTTGGGAATATCACTGCTAGGATAAGGAATGACCAAAGCTTCAATTTTGTCTTTTGTCATTATGTGTTGGAATCACACTGGACTGTTAATAATTTCCAGTGCCTGTTTTGGGCATTCGTCAAGAAAAGCACAGGCGGTGACTGCATTTTCATGTTTTATTATGTGATATAGCTAGGTGAAAACCTTTTTATTAGAATCACTATTACTGATCAATGGCAGGGAATGTGTGGTCTGTGATTTTCAACAGACTTTGATTCTATTGTTGTTGATTATATAGTCAAAATCTATGGTTGCGACCCTGGATGAGTTTTTGGTTCCCTTGACCCAGTCATAGATCATAGGTGGTACATGCATAGTAGTCCTTTTTGGGGGAATTGAGATTGTAATTAAAATATAACTTTCCCCAAAATAAATGTGTGGATGATAATCACATTGAAAAACCTTGACTAACTCATAAATTCTGAGTAACTATGCATTACATAATTGTGTGATGAAAGCACACTAAGATAGTACCTCAATGATTTCAGATTCATTAGAGACATGCACTGGATGGAATTCATGTAAATTAGATTTTTTAAATTGTATATTTTTTATGTTTTATAAGAACAAAATACTGTATGTCTTGAACTCTTGCTTTCTATACAAATCAGCTTGATATATTTAGCAAGTTGTCATTTTAACACGGTATGGCACAAACTCAATAATCTGTTTAGAGTTGACAGGTGCATTTCATAGTTTCATTTTATTAGGCTTTTATTGATGAATTGTTGTATTACTTTAACTTATTTCAGTGATTTTAAAGGTTTCAAGTTAATTGGTATGCGCTCATCAAGCAACTTGAGTTGAACAGATAGAAACATGGTCATTTACATTGGTCTACTTTCAACAGTGAACATTTCAACTTATATCAATATATACATTCTTTTTTTTATTATTCGGTCTCATATAGTTGTTGTTTTCAAAACAATGCAATGCTCTCTTTCTCCTCTGAATTGCTCATGTGATCTCTTTCAGAAATTACCGTTTTGATTTATATAGTGCAAGAATGAGTCAGTATTTTAGTTTGACCATTTCCAGGGATCAAAGATATTTTAGAAGGGAACTAACCTTGTATGAGTTTTTCTAACAATGATCAGAACAGATATTTGTAAAGAGATTTAAAGCTATATAGTAGCATGAAGAGATGTAATATATATATATTTTTTACCAATACAACTTGTAAATCCGACCAAACAAAAATAAAGAATTTAACAAACTGTTCTGTTGAATTGTAGGAGGTATTGTTACAGAAGGCTAGACAGCCAGCCTCTGTCCTCAGCAGAAGTTCTTAGAATCATTATCCTGTACTCATATCTAGCCTGTATCATCCCTTCTCTCTTATCAAGGACATAAAAGGCTCTAGTTGGGACTTCATTATACCTTCTTTGATGAATAATTATGTGATAATTGAGAGGATAATGAAGGACCTTGACGTCTGGTGAGATGTTTTGACAGTGAGATTCCTTTCATTCTGTCACACAAAACCTAATTTCCATTCCGGTAAATAGTGATGTGGAATGTGAAAATGTATGTCTGCCAGTAATTTCATTGAGATACCAGAGGTTCTGCATGTTATACTGTACATGTTATTCTGCTTCTGTCATATTCATGCTTTATTTTTATGTTCTGTATTGAGAAAGAGAACATTCTTCAAAGCGGTATTAAATGTATCAAGATCAGAACATTGTTTCTTTAAGTGGACTGTAGTAAAAAACAAGACTGTTCCCCATACATGAAAGCAGTCTGTTTCTGTACAGTAGTGTCGTCTGGGCTGGCGAGGGAGTTTTACTACAAGTGTAATTTATTGCAGTAGGCCCTGTGTGATATGTAGATACTGGTCTTGGTAATCTGGCCTCCTAATGGCCTGTTCCTTCCTGTCAGATACTGGGGGACAGGATATCACTCTCCCTTGAAGTTGCATCATACGGGGAAGATTGCTGACAAGCAAAACATTTTGGTCCTATATCAACAATGGACTAATGAAACAAATACCAAAATATAGTTTTTGGGTGGAGTTTTCCTTTAAGGGCAGTTGAATGATCACAAATGCCCCTGTGTATCTCCCATATTAGACTTCACTAGGTGGTGCTAGAGGGAATGTAGCAGTGGGGTATTGTCAGTGTTGCCAAATTATGAAAGATCATATGGCTGTCACATATTTTCCTTTAATATTTTAGATGATTTGTGAGCAGAGGTTCTACAGAACATGTACTCATCCACTATACATGGCACAGATTTTCAGCAAAATATTTGTCTACACTTTCCAAATGCAGTTTGATTGGTGGAGTGTTTTGTTTGGTTGTTATGCTAATGACCTGGTTATAGATGTCAGAACAATTTACAGAACCATTTGAATCCCATTCGCTATGCTCTCAGAAACTGACACTGGATATTAGCTGTTGAGATCAGAGAAACAACAAAGGTGAGTTAGAGGCATTTATTGTAGACTATGGCAAAGGCCATGATATTAATAAGGCCTGTACATTTTTTAATCAATATCTATAATGGCAAAAGACACGGGAGGTTATTTAAGCAATAAGGCCTGAGGGGGTGTGGTATATGGCCAATATACCACCGCTAAGGGCTATTCTTGCGGAGTGCCTGGATACAGCCCTTTGCCGTGATATGTTGCCCAAAACAGCACAAACCCCCGAGGTGCCTTATTGCTATTATAAACAGGTTTCTTTCGCCTCCATATTGTCTCATATGCTATGGCTTTCAGCCAATCCGCATCCAGGGCTCGAACTACTCAGTTTATAATCATGACTTAACTACACCACATAATAAAAACTGCTTAATTAAACTGATAAGAACATTAAACAAATGAGACGGGGATATTATATAAAATAACGTGGATAAAAAGTCTTTAAGCTGTCTATTATAGTTTTATGACTGGAAAAACAAACGCATTGAACCTAATGATGAAGTGAAGTGGTCAGACAAGCAGATGGCTCTAAACCCATACTATCCAAACACATTAAATGTACCCCCAGGCCACTTTTCCTACCCTGGTCTGACCTCCGTGTTTGACTGTGTGAGCAGAGCTGGTTTTGCGTTTGGTCTCCAGCACCTTCAGGCAGGATAGACAAGAAAACTCATCCAGGCAGACATTGTAAGGGTGGAGGAGAGCCTTCCAGAAGGCATTCTTACCATAGATAAGAACCAAGGCACTGAAAGTGGTATAGAAGAGAAAAGAGAGCACAATGGCATTCTCTTTCTTCACCGTTACCTGATAGTACACAGAGCAACCACAAGTGCGAAGGTCAGGTTTATCACCCGCATCTCAGAGCCCAGCATGGGCGCGTGGGAAACATTGGTACTGGCCTTCATGTGCTAGAGATGGATGGCCAGGTGAACAGAGATGGATATGCAACCCTTTACCATCAGTACTCCCGGGAGGATGTCAGAGAGGACTAGATAAACGGTGATCTAGATCATGCCCGGGGTGTCATTAGACATGATGGCACCACAGTTCTTGTTTTCACGTGTTGTTCTCAGGGACGAGGACAGTCAGCATGGGCAGACAGGTGCTGAGACCACACATAGGGATGGCCAGGACTACAGTGCTTCAGGATGGCCTCTGGATCTTGGTGTCACAGTGGATAGGCTCAATCAGAAGGTCAGGGAGGCGGTGGTCCACATGATGGTGAACTTGAGGCTGAACACTGTCAGTATCATTAACGTGTAGAACAGCTGTTCCAGTCGGTAGTCTCTGTCTATGTTGTCCATAGTCATAATAATAAAATAATAATATGCCATTTAGCAGATGCTTTTATCCAAAGCGACTTACAGTCATGCGTGCATACATTATTAGTTTTTTGTGTATGGGTGGTCCCGGGGATCGAACCCACTACCTTAGCGTTACAAGCGCCATGCTCTACCAGCTGAGCTACAGAGGACCATCCAGAGTCTGCAGAGCAGCTGGTGGGCACCACTGGCCACGGACAGGGCTATGCTGATGGTCTCACAGGGGGTCCAGTGTTTGTTCTGCCTGTAGCTCTTTAGGCTCATCAGGAAGATGTACAGGTTAACAGACATTGTGAGGACAGACATCAGGAAGATGTACAGGTTGACAGACATTGTGAGGACAGACATCAGGAAGATGTACAGGTTGACAGACATTGTGAGGACAGACATCAGGAAGATGTACAGGTTGACAGACATTGTGAGGACAGACATCAGGAAGATGTACAGGTTGACATACATTGTGAGGACAGACATCAGGAAGATGTACAGGTTGACAGACATCAGGCCAGTTATGGTCTAGATAGCCACCTTATTGGCTCATTGCATGGTGCTGTTGGTTCTCTAAACAATGTCCACCAGCTTATTTAGCTGTTCTAAGATAAAACCAGAAATGTTGATAGTAGAATATGATGAATATTGTTATTCCACTCTTAAAATGCTGTGATGTTGAAGTGTTCAAGGTTGAGGTGGAATTAGTGCTCAAATGTTTCAAATATCATATTTCAAATTCTTCACTTTTTAACTCAGACATTTACCAGGGTTTTCATTTGAATCAGAGTGACACATAGCCAGGACTTTCTTTTCTCTGTGGAAGAAATGTACAAATCGAAAAAAAACATTTAAAAGTCCACAAGGCTGAGGTAAGCACTTACACCATGTTGAATGTGGTTATTTTGGATGGAACTTTACTTCAGACAAAGATCCCTTTGCATCTGATGTTGTTTTCTCTTCGTTATTTTAGTACAACTTGAAACAATTCAATACCTTAGCATTGAAGATTATTTTTTTCCCCCCAAAGGTTGGCTTTTAGAAGTAGCCTGAAGATGTTGACTGAGAATGGCATCAAGTTGAGGCACAGAACCTTTGATTTCAGAGTCGCCTGACTGGAATTTATAGAGAAGCATCAAACTCTATTCACAATACTATTTGCATTGGTGTTGATGGCAAAAGGCAGTGGTTGCAGTGCATTTCCATAGGCCTGGGGTGAAGATGTGTGCTCATTAGTGTGGGAATTCCGACTCGAGTTAAGCGCTCGTAAATTGAACGTAATTCCCCTTCTACACGTATTCTGCTCGCTATTCGTTTGGGGGGAGATCAAAGAAATGAAGGTGTGGCGGAGGTGTCTATAGATATGCCATATTCTGACTTTGACTTGATTCCCTAATAATCCACCACCTTTATATGCGAGGAAACAATGAATAAGGTCTAGCGAACCTACCGGTTCCAAGTGGGACAAGCATCTACTTTATTTTTTCCGATAGAATCTCCATGCACTGTAATTTATAAATTGATGAGAGCTATTGATAAGAGAAGGGGATTGTAAATACACATAGCAATTTTTTTAGATTATTTTTTTCCTTATGATCCCTGGAGACGAATGTGAAACCAGTCATATGGAAACAAACTGAAAATCATATAAACAGGACATGTATTGCAGCCCCTTTTCCAAAGTGAAGGAGGCTATAAATAGCTGTGCCGTTATTCAGAATTACTATTGTATGCCCTCATCATTTACAGGGATGAAATTTGGAGACACAGGCTTTTCTCAGTTTAATATCCACATATGTTTATAACTGTTACTTACGTGTTCGTTTCCTTCAATTTGTAGCTTACATTTCTCTTACAGTGAAATTGAATGGCCAATTTGCTCAGCGTATTTGACATTTTAGTCATTTAGCAGACGCTCTTATCCAGAGCGACTTACAGTTAGTGAGTGCATACATTTTCATACTGGCCCCCCGTGGGAAACGAACCCACAACCCTGGCGTTGCAAGCGCCATGCTCTACCAACTGAGCTACAGGGGACTATCCGGTGGAATTACTGTACCCGTTGAATTGCAGCATGACATGTTTGCCAAACCACAGACACTGAACAAAACCTCTCATGCGGAAGGTCCAGTTCCCATGCAAATGTCCTTCCTGGAGCTATGGCCACAGGGTCGATTTACATGTGATTAAGGGGGCAACCTGCCTTTGACTCACCTTCATGTTCTGTGTTAATTCAACACTTTACAGGGTTAGTGCTCTGGTGTCAACCTTCTAAAGCATTCTGGTTGGCAAGACCACAACGAAAACATGCCTAATTATTTGTGGCAGGCTTGAATCTGGAATGAGGCGTCTAGACATACAGTGGGGAAAAAAAGTATTTAGTCAGCCACCAATTGTGCAAGTTCTCCCACTTAAAAAGATGAGAGAGGCCTGTAATCTTCATCATAGGTACAGGTCAACTATGACAGACAAAATGAGGAAAAAAAAAATCCAGAAAATCACATTGTAGGATTTGTAATGAATTTATTTGCAAATTATGGTGGAAAATAAGTTTCTCAATACTTTGTTATATACCCTTTGTTGGCAATGACACAGGTCAAACTTTTTCTGTAAGTCTTCACAAGGTTTTCACACACTGTTGCTGGTATTTTGGCCCATTCTTCCATGCAGATCTCCTCTAGAGCAGTGATGTTTTGGGGCTGTCGCTGGGCAACACAGACTTTCAACTCCCTCCAAAGATTTTCTATGGGGTTGAGATCTGGAGACTGGCTAGGCCACTCCAGGACCTTGAAATGCTTCTTACGAAGCCACTCCTTCGTTGCCCGGGCGGTGTGTTTGGGATCATTGTCATGCTGAAAGACCCAGCCACGTTTCATCTTCAATGCCCTTGCTGATGGAAGGAGGTTTGGCCCCATTCATTCTTTCCTTTACACGGATCAGTCGTCCTGGTCCCTTTGCAGAAAAACAGCCCCAAAGCATGATGTTTCCACCCCCATGCTTCACAGTAGGTATGGTGTTCTTTGGATGCAACTCAGCATTCTTTATCCTCCAAACACGACGAGTTGAGTTTTTACCAAAAAGTTCTATTTTGGTTTCATCTGACCATATGACATTCTCCCAATCCTCTTCTGGATCATCCAAATTCACTCTAGCAAACTTCAGACGGGCCTGGACATGTACTGGCTTAAGCAGGGGGACACGTCTGGCACTGCAGGATTTGAGTCCCTGGCGGCGTAGTGTGTTACTGATGGTAGGCTTTGTTACTTTGGTCCCAGCTCTGTGCAGGTCATTCACTAGGTCCCCCCGTGTGGTTCTGGGATTTTTGCTCACCGTTCTTGTGATCATTTTGACCCCACGGGGTGAGATCTTGCGTGGAGCCCCAGATCGAGGGAGATTATCAGTGGTCTTGTATGTCTTCCATTTCCTAATAATTGCTCCCACAGTTGATTTCTTCAAACCAAGCTGCTTACCTATTGCAGATTCAGTCTTCCCAGCCTGGTGCAGGTCTACAATTTTGTTTCTGGTGTCCTTTGACAGCTCTTTGGTCTTGGCCATAGTGGATTTTGGAGTGTGACTGTTTGAGGTTGTGGACAGGTGTCTTTTATACTGATAACAAGTTCAAACAGGTGCCATTAATACAGGTAACGAGTGGAGGACAGAGGAGCCTCTTAAAGAAGAAGTTACAGGTCTGTGAGAGCCAGAAATCTTGCTTGTTTGTAGGTGACCAAATTCTAAATTTGTCTGTCATAGTTGACGTGTATCAATGATGAAAATTACAGGCCTCTCATCTTTTTAAGTGGGAGAACTTGCACAATTGGTGGCTGACTAAATACTTTTTTCCCCCCACTGTAGATCAATATTATACTATGATGCAAACCAAAGAGAAAGCAATCCTTGCATCCAACTCAATCATTGTAGACATTCCACTGTACTACGATTGGAAAAAAATCCTTTGATCATAGACTTTCTTCAAGCTTTTATTCTCTGAACTGTCTGCCTTCTGAGGCCAGTCTGATTTCATACTGTTGTTAACAAGTTTTATATCAAAATCAATATCTTAATCACATATCTGACTGGCACAAAATGTCATTCCATATTAACAATCATAGAAAATAATTTTCAACGAAACAGTCTCAAAATCAAATCTGCAGCACTACCGTAGTCAAAATGAGTTGCCTCGTGAATTTGGCCTGGTGTGTTGAGGGTAGGGTCATTATCTTTTTCGATTGGTGACACAAATAGATATACAGGATACAACTGATTCAGAATCACGTGCTTGATAAACAAATTATTAGTAAAATATCTGTTTTCATTGTAAAATTATAGAAAAGATGACAAACATTTTGGTTACTTGACTATTAGGCAAAATATGTCATACATAGAATAAGAAACATTCACATCTGTCATACAAATATAATCTCTCTTTCTCACTCATTCTCATTGGCAAAATCCTCAATTGAGCTTCACGTGACTAAAACATTATCCATTGCACCATTTCTCCAATAGTTGCACTATTGCACCAATAGTTCCCAGTCTGTTGCACAAAGTGCAGGGTGGAAGTGGCATGGGTAATGAGATTATACATATTCTGTAATGCCGGGCCTGCATGTGATATAGCTGTTTATACTAAAGGTTGGCAAAATGTCCTAAAACTGCCACTTAAAAAATGTGATAAGAGGTTTCATGCTCATCCTTACCCCAACCCAAAACATTGTTACACAGGGTAGCCATAACTGCTGTCACATTTCAGCACAGGTGGTAAAGGAGGGGCTTTCAGCTTGCTGGGGGCGGCCGTGCCTAAGCTACTGTCTGTGTAGAAGCTCCTGCGGTCTGACTCTGTCCTCTTGGGCTGGCCTTTTCTCACGGAGCTGTAGACCGCCCCAGGGTTGGAGCGGAAGTCTAGGACAGAGCGGAAGCTGGAGTTCCTGCTGGCGGGGCGGCTCTCTGGGGCTGGGGCGTCCTCCCTGGTGGGTAGGGCCAGGCCATGGAAGAGAGGCATAGAACGGTAGGAGTTAAACACATTTTCCGGTTTGTCTGCTGCATGTAATTCTTGGACTGTATGGAATGTCATATTTCATACCTGATTTCATGGGCAACCTCCTTCTCATAGCGACGCTTGTGGCAGCAGCAGACCAGAAGCCAGATGAGAAGCAGGAGGAAGAGCAACAGTAGCAGAGCACCAATCACAGCACCCGCTATGATCCCTGCTTTGTTGGGAGCTAAAAAGGAAGTCATGATATTCAGAGACAGGTTCCAAGGAATAGGTCCAAACATATGCACTGTTCCTCACTTTCTTTCTCCCAAATAACAGGCTTAAAAATCTTTGTTGTTTTAAACTTACGGTTGTATGCGTGCAGGGTGTATTTACACTGCTCTTTGCCCACAGGATTCGACACCACACACAGATAATTTCCCATGTAGCTCTCTGAGTGATTTCTTATCATCAGCTCTCCAGTCTGAGAGTCTAAATGAAACAAAGACAAACACTGCCAGCTACACCTCACCTCAGTACATCAACATGTACAGTAGATCTATGGTTGTGTGTGTCATGTCTTATCTAGAGACTTTAGTTCCTGTTTCCTACTTTGTGTTGCTGTGGGCGGGATGGCCCCTCCACTCTCTCTGGTCCAGACATAGTTAAGGGGGATGGATCCCACGGATGACTTGCATCGGAGGGAGACATCGGCTCCCTTCACCTCGCCGCCTTCAACCCAGCACTTAGGCACTGATGGAGGGACTGGTGTGTGAGAAGAGGTAAAACTGTCTCAGGAAAACAACTTCATAAAAGAGTGTGTAGAGGAAGAATACCATTTCCTTTGTTTTACTTAACATATGCATCTCTGCGACCAATTACAAAATGGGCCATTGTGTAAATGTCCTGATTCCTTCTAAGTGCATTTCCACTACAGGGAAATAAGTATATAGAGAAGAACAAAAGGAGCACCAGGGTGTTAACATTCCTTTTCAGTGAGAAAGCAGGTTTAAAAACAGAGGACACAGGACAGTAGAATGATGAAACTGGTCAAACAGAAACCAGTCTGGGAGGGGCGGCATTCCTCACCCATCACTACCAGAGTGACTTTTCGCATGTCGACACCCGGTGCCTTCTTGACTTTGCACTGGTAGGTGGCTGTGTCTGAGGCTTTCACTGTAGAGATGGAGACGGATGCATCTCCCAGTGCAGGGTCTCCTGTGAAGTCCATCCTCTTAGACAAGCTGGGGTCCCCGTAATGCAATTTCTGCCCTCCTGTATAAGATATGACCTGAGAGGTAGAGATTTGGTTAAATGACAAAAACACCACAAGTCTTGAGAACAAATGTTAAGAACAGGTTTTTCTACTGCAACAATGAGGATAAGATCGCCTGTAGCTAAACAAAATATCCAAGACTAGTCTGACATAGAAATGGTATGAGTGGATGTTCAGACTAACATTTGTTTTACCCTCCCCTTAAGTTATCCATAATAAGACCCCCCCTCTGTCTCCTGCTCTGTAGTCTCACCAGCTGGTCTTTCTGGGTCATGTCTGGATGGACATTCAACCACTCAATGTCCAGTTCTCCTGTGTCAGAGGGGGCAGGGGTGTAGGTGCACCCCAGCATGACTGTCTCCCCCTGGGCTCTCTGAATGGTCTGAGACCCTGTGGATGTTATCTGCATAGCCACTGTGACATCTTAGGGTTCAGAGAAACACACACATTCAGGACTGAAACTTACAAAGAACATGGAGTCCCTATGACAGGGATTCAAGCAAGTTCCTGCATTAGCAGCAATGTGTTCTAACAACGTCCTGTGACCATAACAACATACAGTGCCTTCAGAAATTATTCACACCCCTTGACTCTTACAGCCTGAATTTAAAATGGATAACATTTAGATTTTGGCCAACATACAATAAATACCCCATAATGTCAAAGTGTTATGTTTTTCAATTTTTTTTAAACAAATTATTTAAAAATGAAAACCTGGAATGTCTTGAGTCAATAAGTATTCAACCCTGTTGTTACGGCAGCCTAAATAAGTTCAGGAGTACAAATTTGCTTAACAAGTCACATAATAAATTGCATGGACTCACTCTGTGTGCAATAATAGTGTTTAACATTATTTTTGAATGACTACCCCATCTCTATACCCCACACATACAATTTATCTCTAAGGTCCTTCAGTCGAGCAGTGAATTTCAAACATGGATTCAACCACAAAGACCAGGGAGGTTTTCCAATGCCTCGCAAAGAAGGGCACCTATTTAAAAAAGAAGACATTGCATTTCCCTTTGAGCATGATTAATTATTATTACACTTTGGATGGTGTATCAATACACCCAGTCACTACAAAGATACAGGCGTCCTTCCTAACTCAGTTGCCGGAGAGGAAGCAAACCACTCAGGAATTTCAACATGAGGCCAATGGTGACTTTAAAACAGGTAGAGTTTAATGGCTGTGATAGGAGAAACTGAGGATGGATCAACAACATTGTAGCTACTCCACAATACTAACCTAATTGACAGAGTGAAAAGAAGGAAGCCTGTACAGAATACAAATATTTCAGAACATAAATATAACATTTTTTTGCAACAAGGCACTAAAGTAATACTGCAAAAAATGCAATTAACTTTTTGTCCTGATTACAAAGTGTTATGTTTGGGGCAAATCCAATGGAACACAGAGTTGCTTACCAAGAAGACAGTGAATGTTCCTGAGTGGCCGAGTTACAGTTTTGACTTAAATCTACTTGAAAATATATGGCAAGACCTGAAAATTGTTGTCTAGCAATGATCAACAACCAATTTGACAGCGCTTGAAGAATTTTGAAAATAATAAAATGGGAAGATGTTGCACAATCCAGTTGTGAAAAGCTATAGAGACTTACCCAGAAAGACTCACAGCTGTAATCATTGCCAAAGGTACAATATATATATATATATAATATGCAAACATTTCTAAAAACATGTTTTCACTTTGTCATTATGGGGTATTGTGTGTAGATGGGTGAGAAAAACAATATATTTAATAAATGTTGAATTCAGGCTGTAACACAACAAAATGTCAAATAAGTCAAGGGGTATGAATACTTTCTGAAGGTACTGTAGTTTCACCTCCACAATGGGTGTAATCACTATTCCAAACCATGGCAAACAGTTGCGATTTGCAACGAAAATTAGTTTCTATTGGACAAATTCAGGTTGGTCCCTTCCCATGCTTCCATTTGGTTCTGTTTGGTTCCTTGTGAATACACCCCAATTGTTGGACATCTGTTACACAGTTCATATAAGTGTAAATGCATTACTGACAAAGTTTTGAGAATGACACAAATACTAATTTTCACAAAGTCTGCTGCCTCAGTTTTGATGATGGCAATTTGCATATACTCAAGAATGTCATGAAGAGTGAGCAGATGAATTGCAATTCATTGCAAAGTCCCTCTTTGCCATGAAAATGAACTTAATCCCCCAGAAAACATTTCCACTGTATTTCAGCCCTGCCACAAAAGGACCAGCTGCCATCATGTTAGTGATTCTCTCGTTAACACAGGTGAGAGTGTTGACGAGGACAAGGCTAGAGATCACTCTGTCATGCTGATTGAGTCAGAATAACAGACTGGAAGCTTTAAAAGGAGGGTGGTGCTTGAAATCATTGTTCTTCCTCTGTTAACCATGGTTACCTGCAAGGAAACACGTGCCGTCATCATTGCTTTGCACAAAAAGTGCTTCACAGGCAAGGATATTGCTGCTAGTAAGATTGCACCTAAACCAACAATTTATCGGATCATCAAGAACTTCAAGGAGAGAGGTTCAATTGTTGTGAAGGTGGCGTCAGGGTGCCCAAGAAAGTCCAGCAAGCACCAGGACCGTCTACTAAAGTTGATTCAGCTGCGGGATCGGAGCACCACCAGTGCAGAGCTTGTTCAGGAATGGTAGCAGGCAGGTGTGAGTGCATCTGCACGCACAGTGAGGCGAAGACTTTTGGAGGATGGCCTGGTGTCAAGAAGGGCAGCAAAGAAGCCACTTCTCTCCAGGAAAAACATCAGGGACAGACTGATATTCTGCAAAAGGTACAGGGATTGGACTGCTGAGGACTGGGGTAAAGTCATTTTCTCTGATGAACCCTTTCCGATTGTTTGGGGCATCCGGAAAACACCTTGTCTGGAGAAGACAAAATGAGCGCTACCATCAGTCCTGTGTCATGCCAACAGTAAAGCATCCTGAGACCATTCATGTGTGGGGTTGCTTCTCAGCCAAGAGAGTGGGCTCACTCACAATTTTGCCTAAGACAACAGCCATGAATAAAGAATGGTACCAACACATCCTTCGAGAGCAACTTCTCCCAACCATCCAAGAACAGTTTGGTGACGACCAATGCCTTTTCCAGCATGATGGAGCACCTTGCCATAAGGCAAAAGTGATAACTAAGTGGCTCGGGGAACAAAACATCGAAATGTTGGGTCCATGGCCAGGAAACTCCCCAGACCTTAATCCCATTGAGAACTTGTGGTCGATCCTCAAGAGGCGGGTGGACAAACAAAAACCCACAAATTCGGAGTTACTCCAAGCATTGATTATGCAAGAATGGGCTGCCATCAGTCAGGATGTGGCACAGAAGTTAATTGACAGCATGCCAGGGCAGATTGCAGAGGTCTTGAAAAAGAAGGGTCAACACTGCAAATATTGACTCTTTGCATAAACTTAATGTAATTGTCAATAAAAGCCTTTGACACTTATGGAATGCTTGTAATTATACTTCAGTATACCATAGTAACATCTGACAAAAATCTCTCATAACACTGAAGCAGCGAACTTTGTGAAGACCAATATTTGTGTCATTCTCAAAACTTTTGACCACGACTGTAGGACAGACACCAGCTAATGGGTGCAACAGAGACTGACGTTGTTATGACCTGGCTTGGGACACTTCCTGGGTTCCACCCGGCTACATCGAGCGACATAAACCTTGTGTAAATATGTGTATATAATCAATGGCTGTCACACAGGCACATTTTACATCCCCTGACAAAGATAAATGGAAATGAACCTTGAAATGAATCAGTTTAAAAGTGGACTTTTGTCTGGTGCAGTCTGGGCTTAGAAGGGCCCAAAATAGTGGATGTCATAGGGCGACTAGGTTAGGAAACGTTTCATTACTTGATAACTCACCTGTATTCAGATAAACTGTTACCACAAACATCACAGCTAACTGTAGTCTTGAGCATGTAAGGCACTTTCCCAAAGTGACCATGTTGATAAACCTATATGGCACATTAAGAGAAATGTGATTACAATGACTACCTGAGTCATTTGAATATGTACTTCCTCATTGGGATTTCAAATCTAGTTTCTAGGAAACATTACTCAGCTAAAAGGTAGTCTTTATCATGCACTGAAACTACAATGATAAAGGGACACTTGTTTTCCCTTAACATACGCTCAAGCTTTTCAAGGGGGATAGACAACCCTGGACAGAATGAAATATATAACCCATTCTGTCCAGGGCTAGAGGATAGAATAGATCCTCAACAATACCTACCTACTGTATTTTCAGCAAGTTCTCATCTCCAACTTAATGGCTGTTGCTGAGTGAGTCAGGAATTTGTACTTTCAACTCTCGAGTACATCAGCACATATTCATAATATTCCTGAGCAGTATTCAATACAACAATCACATAATTAATTAATCCAAATTACCTTTCTGCACAGCAATATTCCAAAGGTAATGTAGTTTCCAAGTGGCCTGACAGAGTGAACCAGAACAAAACTTTTGCTTGCCTTCTCTTCAGTTGCTCTCACCTGAAACTCTGAAACAGGGGTGTTATCATTAGCCAAACAGAAACTAAAACAAGAGTTTCTATTGGACAAATTCAGGTAGGTCCCTCCCCATTTTGTTCAATCTGCTTCCGTGTAAGAAATCAGGAAGGTGATTGAGTCCAGGTGCGCGAAATGATGAATCCCAGGACCGGTGACCTCGAACGCCGGAGAGGGAGTATAGGTGACAGGTAAGGTCTACACCTGTTGTATTCGGCGCATGTGACAAATACAATTTGATTTGATTTGATTTGTTACATTTCTAAAATGTCTAGTAAATTAAAATCTTCCATGTGATGTTGTCTGGCGCCAATTTTCCTAAAGGAAACTCTGAAATGGCATATTGTTTTTTTATGAAGATTTTATAATATTCACATGAAAATCTGTCGCCAATTGGAATGAAACCTAGCTGTAGACACCCTAAAGACTCTGGCAGACACCCTAAAGACGCTAGTCCAGTGTCACTTTGATTATGCCTTCACATCATGGTTTACCAGCAGCCCCAAACATCTAAAGAATAAGCTACCAGCCAAACAAGCTTGTAAGAACTTTACTTAAACTCCTCCCTGATACTCATCTGGAGATAGAGACGAAAAAATGCTCAATCTCTGTAATGTGCCTGTATCTATGTAAGTGTATATGTATTTCTGTAAAGAAATAGGGACCACAATGGAAATGAGTCCCCGACTTTATTGTGCAATCACAGTCACTTTAAAAAATCTTTGTGTATATTTTCAATCAATCCAAACTGTGCAGCGGCCAATTGATGAATGGAAAGAGACATCTGTTACAAAACACCAAAAAGTTTAATGATATTTGGAGATTATCAAGCCAAGCCTTCAATACTGGGTAAGCCTACAAGGTAGGGAGGGAGGTATTTTCTGTTTGTCGAGCTTGACATAGTCTATTTATTGTGGTGTTGAAAACGCAAACCATGATATTGACGTGCCCGAAGTAGGTATGCTTTGTTAATTGGTTGTGTGGTGCATTGGCACAGAAATCTGTTGGTGGAAAATTCATTGCATATATTGTATATAATTATAAATATGGCATCAAAATGTTTAAAATTTGTTTCCCCCCTAGCAAATCATCGTCTGCAGCCGGCTTTGATCGTAGTGTAATGAAACAGAAAGAAATCAGACTGTCATATGGCTGTCTTCACTGTTTAAAGATGGATTGATGTGATTTGTGGCTCTGATGATGTTGGGTACAGGGTTGATTGATTACCATGCTGGTTGATGATGGGTGAATTAGGTAGAGAGAGGGGGGATATAAGCCAATGGACTAAATTGGTCAGGGCTGAGGATAACATAAAATTATGCAGCATCGATCGACAGGGAATGCATTCACTTGATCACACTATGGCTTCAGAACAGGATATTGGCCATTAGGAACTCTCAAAGTGCTAGAGCAATGCCATCATATCTGTGCATATTAATTAGAATGAATAACAACATTAATGAAGTAACTTTTCAGATGCTGCATCGAACATGACCAGAATTTAGATGGGATTGTACACATCCCCGTAGACTCTCTCTGGTTCTTCTTCTCCCCTTTATCTCTATAGGTACTACATATGTGTCTCTCTCTTTAAATCACATTGTCACACACTCACACACACACACACTCTCCTCTCAACTTAGTGGAATAAGAGTTTGGTCAGCAAGACCTTATCAAAGTTTGTGTGTGTTTGCGTACGCATGTGCGCCTGTGTGCATGCGTGTGTGTGCGTGCATGTGAATGACTCTGACTATCATGAGAGCAGGTGTTTAACTGCCCCAGTCTTTCCCCCTGGTGTAACACAGGTCTCGGACAACAGATTGTTGTGGGCTGAACAGCATGTGACAGGACAGAATGAGCATAGAGGGAGGGCACAGCACTGGAACAGTTCAACAAAGGACTTAAATGACTTATTATCAAGACTTTTAAAACTGAAGCATTATACAGCAAATGGGTTATACATAAAGTAAATGGGTGATAGTATTGTAATGCATGAATGTGTGTGTTGCTGTGTTGTTGCCTGCACTGTGTTTCTATGGCATCGAGACTCCTGTTCACCAGGCCTAACAGATTAAATACAGCCAAAGTGAATCTGTCCACCTGCCAAGCCTCTGATAACACCATCTATCTTAGTACATTTTGCAGGGTGGGCCCTAATGACACTCCATGGTAGCAAACAAGCCACCATGACAGATGTCCAAATTACAAGTAAACAACCAAACAGGGGAAGCAAACAAATGACCAAACTGGAGAAGCCGGGGAGGCTGCAGAAACATGGGCCTTGCCAACAGCCATACCTAAATAGCATGGCAGCTTGAGTCACGGTGAGTCAATGTCAGAGAGGCAGTTAAGCACATATATTTGTCTTTTTAAGGTGGGACGTCACTGAGACGAGGAGGGAGCTCCTTGCCAGGGGGCTGCAGTCAATCACTGCCTCAATGACTTACGTGACTGGAATTCTGCACGCTCAGGCTTGCTCATATCTGTGTATTCAAACCCACTCAATTAAATGGCACCTCCGGCAGCGATTATTTGTTTTCGAGATATTCCTTTTCCTGTGAGTTGCAAATTGACGTCATCAAGAGACCACTTTACTGTCATAATTATAAGCTAGTCCCGGGAGCCTTTTTACCTACAATTATGCTCTAATATGCACAGAAGCAGCATCATTGTCTTGTCGGCTGTCTATCATCATCAATCTCACCTCAACCTTCTCTCTGTGGAGCTAATTCTCCTGTATGATGACAGTTGTCTCCTTTCCAGCCATGGTGACTCATTTAGTGCCCCCACACTGTGTGGTATCCATGTGGCCACATTATAAAACCAATTATCAGCAGCCAAGTACAAGCTCAGAGCTCTTTTCCCTCTCCGTGACTTCTTTATCTCAGAGGTACAGACAGCTGCAGCAAAGGGGAGCATTGTATATGAAACCCAGGACCAGCTGTACACAGAATAGTATGACAGGGACAGGAATGCTGAAGTAAACAGCATGGAACAATAAGTCTCTATAGATGGTGGATTACTAGTCATTGCTCTAGACACACTAATCCTGATCATGTTGATATCCAGTTGGCTTTCACAATCACAAAGTAGGTAAACTTCAGTATCAGTCATCATGTGTGCCTATTCAAGGCTTTTCATAAAGGTCACTGGATCTGATTTGAGGACTGATCATAAGCTTTAGAGTGGCATTCCCTGACACAATGTAGGGGGGAAGAGGGAAATGAAGTCATTCCTCTTCCACAGCCACTAAAATACCAGACCTGATATTGATGTCTTACCTCCTCCTAAAACATTCTCCCCTTCATTCTAAGGTGTTCCCTTTAAATTATTTAAGTCTATTGTTCCCTCTCCCCGATGCTCCTGATTGAGGGTAAGGAAGAGGGGGTGAGTAGAGAAAAGAGGGTGAAGGCAGGGTATGTAGATGTGGAGGAGGAGAGTTTAGGCTTCTTCTGAACAGTACAAACTATTTTGCAACATGTAATGCTTGTTGTTGATTGATGTATTTTGAAGGATAATCTCATTGTACCTATGTATTCAGCTATGCCAGTAGAATTTTACAAGATAGGAGAAGGTAAATTGAATAAGGGGCGGAAATACAAATAGTGTTTATCTGTGCCAACAAATTGCTTCCCTTGTGTTTTAAGGACTGCATGGACATCGATTGAGTTGTTTTTATCTCATCAGATGAGATTACTCTGAGCTTTACCCAGAATGTGTGCCAAGCCTTATCCTCCCCAAACAAGTCACGAAGGACAGAAATTGGAAAGTTGTGGTAATTTGGAATAAGTAAAAGTCACAAATCTTAAAAGACATGCCATATGGACCACTCCACTCTCCCGTATGGATTGTTTTTCGCTCCACTGGCCTGGTTTTGCATCTATTCAGGATGGTTATATCTTACAGACCTCTAGTCTATTTGCCCTCTAAAAATGTTTACCTCACACATCTTCATCAATATTTATTTATTAAATGATCAAAGATGGCAGTGAACAAAAATGCATTACATTTTCATTTTAGCAGACGCTCTTATCCAGAGCGATTTACAGGAGCAATTAGGGTTAAGTGCCTTGCTCAAGGGCACATTGACAGATTTTTCACCTAGGGGATTAGAACCAGCGACCTTTCGGTTACTGGCACACTGCTCTTAACCACTAAGCTACCTGCCGCCCCATAATGCAAGAACCTTATTATTGTTCATGCATTTTATGTTCCATCACTTTTTGTGTAAGAACAGTATTTCAACGTTCAACCACATGGTAGTAAAAATCAACACTTATCATAAGCATACATTATACAGTATGTTCACGAGACGTGATGACCTCTGACAAAAAAGCTCTGCTCTGAAATTAGTTGCCAATGTCTATTTTTCTCTTCTTCTATTTCAACTAACATCAAAATAAACACAAAAACAACACAAACATCCATGCACACACACACACACACATTGTCTCCAGCTACAGTATTTGAGCTGAGATGGTGGACACCATA